ACCTTTGTCTTGTATATCCTGAAAACATCAAGGAAGTTTGCTAATAACATAAAGTGGTATCACTATGGCCTATGTTCTCATTTTAATTGGAAAGTTTTCCTATTGTGCTACACAGAATTTAATAACTGAAGACTTTGCACCCAGTACAAGGTTTCACATACTTTATGAGTCAGTGATTACAGAACCTGGACTACCACTCATCTCTTTATTCTCCTTAATGCAGAGCTGGCATTTGGTAACATATCAATAGGTTAGAATGGTCATAAAAATCTTAAAATGAATGAATATATTAGAGCTGGACAGAGTTTCTTAGTTCAATGGTTGTTCATTGGCTTGGAAAACTCATGAGTTAAATGAGCTTATAGTCTATATTTTCCCCCTTAAACCTTATGTTTCATGAAACTATTTCTGATATGGGTAAAACTAAAATGAATATTGAAAATTATCTGATGTAATCTTAATTAAAGCTTTAGAAATGTTACTAGTTGGAGATGCTCACTCACAGGGACCACTTCATTACTTTCAAATTATTTATATTTAAATTGATTTAAAAGTCACTTATTAATTGCCAATTAATAAATGTTTCTGAATTGTTATTAGAAGCTGAAGTGTTTAGTCCATATTTTGTTGAAAACTTACTATCATTGTTAAAACCTTTATAGAATTAGAACTGGAAATTTGTTAAACTCAGAATTCTATGCAATTGTTATTGATTATTGTTAACGATATAGAAATTGCTTCAGAGAAATTTAGAAAATAAGTTTCTAAGCTGTTCCTGGCTTATTTGCTAAAGATATATGACTTTAAGCCTTTAGTAAATATTTATTAAAAGTAGGCAAATCTCCCAGTGCTGCGGGAATTAGATTAGATTAATTTTAGAACAGCTTCTAGTCACTTTATTTTAATTTTTTTCTCTACTGCTATTTATAAAACTTCTCTTTCAGGATTGTATACATTAAATGGCCATTCCAGAGAAATCATGGACTGTTTACTTTAAATCTATTATTTATTGGCTATTTCTGGTATGTGAATGAATATGTCATACTTCACTATGGGGTTTGTCCTATAATAAATTCTCTGGAATCAAAATGTGGAAATAGGGTAAAGAAAACTGTTAACAACTGGGGAAACTTTAGGACTGTTTACAGGAAACATATCATTTTCAGTGATATTTACAATGTAATTTCAATGATATTTACAATACTGATGATAATTATGAAGACTATTCTTAGATATTCATGTTTATTAGTTCCATTTTATGTGAACTTCATAATACTGATAGTATTACACAAACAAAACTTTTTTACATATCATGTGATTGAAATTTAGTAAGTAGCAATCTATTTTATCTATTTTATCTATTTGTTCCGGTGATGATTAAATGACAGAATTTGAAAGTTAACTTACCAGGAATTTCCTGAGAACTTCTATTTGAAATAAACCAGCCCTTCCCCATCTAAATCTACATTTCATATTTCAACAATGCAGATTTGGCAAAAACAACTAAAATCTTTCCCATGAAATAGCAAAGCATGAATGAGACCCCTTTTCATTTTACAATAATTTATAGTGATATTATTAATCCTTTTAAGGTTTTTATTATCTCTTGTTAGTACTAGATGTTTATGCAGTGTATAGTATCCTGATTTGTAAAAATACTTGGCAAGCTACATAATGGAAAGCCAGTGCAGGTTATAGATAAAACACAAAGTCCAAATAGCAACCTCTTGATCTATCATGGACACACTTAACATTTCATCACTAGAATTCATAATTCAATAGCCATTAAACTATCTCACCACCGGTATGAGTATAACATGCTCCAATAAAGAGACTCAGATGTTCAACTGGCTCTAAGGAGATAGATTATTTCTCTCTAATTTAATAGTTCAGAGGATGGTTAATGATCTAGGGTGGGTGGGTAGGCAGCTCTGGTCCAAAACATGATTCAGGAATCTAAAATCTCCTAACTTATTTACTCTACTACCCCTGGGATATACATAGTCAAAGCTAACTTACTGATTCATATGTGCGTTTGACTCATAGAAAGAATTAATTAGAGAATGTGTAGAGCAAACAGTTTCTTCTTAAAAATATAATGTGTAAGTTTCATGCATGAATTCTTTTCTCATCCCACCGAGTAGAATTTAGTTACATAGACAAAATAAGTGTAATGAAGGACTGGAAAATGTAGTTTGTAAATGGATAACCATGTTACTCTATTAGGTTTGATTAGGTCTAATGCTGCCACTTAAAGGAAAAAAGAAGAGAAAATGAAAAATTGGCTCTGCTACTGGTGAGACTGTGATAAACAATGCTTTTAAGTAAGCCATAGTTGTTTCGAAAATGGACTTGTGTGGGTGTATATGTGTGTTGCTTTTTTACCAATGACATCCCTAGTTCTACTTTGTTCTTCCCAGTGTCTGAATAAGGATTATGATACCTAATCATTGAACTGTCCTTTCCTCTGCACATTATCAATTCTTCTCTAATTTCTCTTTAGAGCTGCTTAGCTCAAGTCTAATTCCTATAATAAATTACTGTCAACTCTGTCTAAGACACCCTGTTTTTCCTCATCTGACTGCAGTCATGTTCTTGGTGGTCTTTGGCTGGTGGGCTTTGACAAGAGAGAATTGATATAGGTATACACTTGGCAACCACTGCTCTATCCTGCTCCATAAAAACCATGGTGTATGGCATTGTGAATTAAGTAAAGCTGAGGAAGTCACTGTTCTTACTCTCTAAGTGCTCTCAGTCTCAATAGAAGCAAATATGGATAGCTTTAATCTGAGATAAGCTGAAACAGTACTGTAATACAAGTATAAAATACACTGTTATGAAGGGGAAAGAGTAAATTAATGCTCTTGAGAGCAAGAAGGAGGATTTGAGGAGTCTCTTGGAAGAAGGGTGATGCCAACTGGTCCAGGAAAGATGGAAACAATTTGCATTAAGGAAGGAATAAGCATAAGTGTAAGTTTAAGAAAGTGGAAAAGCTCAGTGGACTGATATGGCAGGAGAGTGTTTTGCTTGTGGAATGTAAGATGAAATGGAAAACACAAAATGTAGAATTTTAAATGTAAAGTTAAGAAGTTTGGATCTTTACTTCCAGGCAGTAGGTATTATTAGAATACTGCATTAGGAATAAAAAAAGTTGCATTATTTTGTTGGGAAGAGGTGGGTGGGTACTTTAGGAGAAAGAGAATTAGAATAATTAGGGTTTGTAAGAACAGCTAGAAAAAAATATGTAAAAATTAATGTAGGCTTTGTGAAAAAAGTAACATAGGCTTGAAGTTACAAATCACAGAAGCAGCACAAAGCAGGATTCAAAGTTTCTAGAATTAACAGCTTAAAAACATATCTATTCCATGATTATGGTTTATCTCTCCATTTATTTAGATCTTTGGCTTCTTTTATCATCTTTTTCAGAATTGAAGGTCTGCATATATTTTGCTAGATTTATACCCAAATACTCATTTTTCATACTATAATAATTATCTATCTAATCATTTATCTGTATATATATATATATATATATATTCTAGATAGATATTTATATGTATTATAGTTTCAGCTTACGAATGTTCATTACTATATTATACAGGAATATTACTGGCTTTTGTTTACTGAGTATATATCCTATGACTTTGCTCCACTTACATGTTTTGTTCCAGGAGATTTGGGTGATTTAATGAAATTTTCCACATATATACTTATGTGTGTACACATATGTATGTTTATAGAGTATATATGTATTATATATAATATATTTATTTGTAAATATAGTTTATATTATTATATATATAATTATTTAAAGAGTAAATCACTCATAATTTCTATTACACTGGACTTAGTTCTGTCCATTGAAACTATTGTAGAATGATTATAGTCTTATATCCATATCACTGCTCTTTGTATACTGGAAGTTCTCCTTTATATCTCCACTGAGTCTTACAGTAATCCATGCATGCACTCTTTCTGTTTCTCTTTTAAGTCATATTCAGGTTGTCTCAAAAAACCAGCTACTCTACTCTTTGTGACCACATTATTTTAATATATATTCCTTTGAAAAGGCAGTGCGCAGATCATGTGCAGAACTCAGATACTAACCATTTGAGAGTCAAATTGTACTATGTAAAAGCAGAGTTGCAATAATGATAATAGACTATGTTAGCTCATCTAAGTCTTACAATGATCCCGTGGGCATTTTTATCTTCATTTTGTAGATAAAAAGACTCGTGCTTAAAAAATTAATAAATTTGCCAATGGTTCCTCAGGTATATGTAGTACAGTTTGATATTTATAACCAGATCTCTTAGTCATATTTTTTGCTCTTAAACACTATACTAGCTTAAACCAGTAGTGTAATTGATACTATAATTTGCACTGTTTGAAATTATAGTTACAGTATAGTTTCTCATAAACTAGTTCTATAAATAATAAATAGTTAAATAAAATTAATTTATTTCATAATTCCTTATCTATGTATTTCTACTTTTACATTTTACCCTTATGGTTTGGTTAGTTCTTCAATCTTAAGATCTTAAGTTTGGTAATGAGACAAAGGAGATAATTTTTATTTAATCATTGGTTTTTTTGTGAAACATCATTTTCTAATTGTTAGTTCCTGCAAATGTCTTCCAAACCCAAGCTTTTAAATATGTTTCTGCTTTCCTGTGAGAATTTAAATTCTACACAGTAAAATAAAACAGTTATTTAAAAATCCAAATAAATAATGAAAGAAATAAAATTTGAAAAGAGAAGAAAACAATATAAATAAATATTTTTATGTTTAGGCTAGTTCATAACTTCCAGAAATCAAAGACTATTTGAGAGCACAATTATTAGTTGTTAGATTCCTAGAGAGAAATATTTATGCAAACAGTTTTCAGGGTTTTTACAATCTCATGTTGAAAAGGAGTTTATTAAATACTGATAGGCTGGTGAGAGTGCAATTAAAATTTATGAGCAGCTCAATATATAACTGAGCAGTTTTCCCTGATCCTTACTTTCACAGCCCTACCCAACTCTAGTACAACGTGCCAAGCAGAACAGGCCATGAAATAAGGTAAGCTTATGGATCGTATTTCTTTTTTTACTCTCATCTTTCCGAGTAGTTATGTGTTCCCTTAGTTATGTTACCAACATTTCTATCTATTTGCATTTGTTTAAAATAGCAAATATAACGTATTTTTTGCCATCTTAAATATATAGCTCCTTGTACTAAAAATGGAGGGAACATTTCTGATTTTTTTAAGATTGGAGAATATTTCCTTTGCCCAGCCTTTCACTATATATAATTTTTGTCAGACTTAAGTAGAATCATAGCAGGCTTAGCTTAATTACTTCATATAAAAGAAAATAAAGATAAAAATACTTTGAAACATAGAGAAGTGCTCTAATTTAGTATGATTAAATGTATTTTATTTGAGAAAATATAAGTATGCAGAGAAGAATGCTATGTTTATAAAACATTTAACCTTATCTAGAGTATCTCTTAAAGATCAGTCATCAACCTACCATCTAATAAAAGTATTACTCATTTTGAAAGTAAATATACAGAAAAAGGGCATCAATATATAATTTCCACCAAAATATTTTGCTTAAAATTACTATGATCTAAAACATGATCACTTTAATTACCACCAATAGCATATGAATAATTTTAGTACTCATTATTTATGAGTACTTATATGAGTAATTTAATTTGGTACATAAATTTTGTTCTGATTCTTGAGGGTTTGCTTCATAACAATATGTATGTTGTTTAGACTTCCCTTAACAAAAGCACAGTCCTTTTTATTGCCTTCTTGATACCAAAGCAGGATGTAACTTTAAGTGATGCTTAAACTTATTTAAAGTTAAATACTAAACACACTGTGTCATTTCTCACCTAACATTGAGCAACTGGTTTCGTTTCCTAAATGGCTTCATTTATCACTTGGTTAAATTTAGCTTACATTTGGTTTCCCTCAAGATTAACAATGCAATAAATAGCTTATATATTTGTAACAGAGAATAATATGCTAAAACTGAATGCTGATCTTTAAAATTCATAAATAAGTTTTTAAAAATTTAGCTTGTACTTCCTTGATGTCAGGCTCTGAACTGCTCTCATGATTCTTGCTATTAAGAATCTAACAATACAGTGGAGAAAGTTAATATATGTGTAAATAATTGCAACAGATATGCAGTGTGCTATGGTAAAATGGAAAAAGTTTGGATTAACTCTGCCTCGAAGAGTAGGAAAGAACTCACAAAGGACATGGCATTTGACCTGGACATAAATTGAAACTAATCTAGAAGAGCAGATGTGGAAGGATTGAAGAAAGATCAAATCATGTGCACTAAAATGACATGTTATCCAAAAAAGATGTTGCAGTGGTGGGGTTAGGATGAAATTATAATTCTGAAAATATTTTGGTGGTAGAATCAATAGGATTTGTGAATGATTTACTGTGGTAGAAAGATATGGAAAAGGGAAAAAAGTTCTTAGGTTTGGACAACTGGGTATATAAAATGACATAGGTACAGAGGAAGGAGAACAAGTGTGAGAGACCAAAAAAAAACTATTTTAAACTCAACAATATATTAATAAATTCACCATGGAAATTCTACATTCCTATCTAGAAATATGCCATTAAATTAATATTTACATAAAAATCACAGAATACAGAAAAGTCATGGGAACATGAAGACTAAGAAAGAAGAGAGAGAGATGATTGAAACTAAAGTAAACAAATTAGCTTTTGGATGATTTTGAGGGAGCTTTTCCAAGTCTACATTAAAGTACCCTCTGTATGCTAACTCAAATATGTAATGTTCCCTGAAAAATAAATACGTATTTTAGATATGAGAGTTTGGTATATTTTATTTCCAATTTAAGGGAGGAACTTGGAGATTATGTAGTTCAAATCTTTTTTTTCTTAAAGCAAATCTGGCATATATACATTTATGTTTTTTTGTACAATATTTTATGCTCATATTATTTTATGTATTTATTTTCATTTTCACATATTTGTATTCTTTTCAATAATACAATTATAGGAAAACAGTGTTAGAATTGGAGAGACAATAAAGAAGAAGTGGTATTTTTTGATTTTGAGAAAATAATTTATTTTCTCTTAGCTTAAAGTTCCTAATAAGTAAAATGTGAATAATGGTATCTCCTGCATAGAAAATTATGAGAATTAAGGAACATAGTGCCAGTTTGAGGTTTCTTTGACTTGAAAAATGCTCTAAAAATGAGAGCAAGGCACACCTTTTTGGAGATTTTTCTTCCCTTTATATTTTTGTCTTCCTGCATTTCTATAATGTGCCTCACTAATTCGTTCCCTTTATTGAAAATTGCATGTGTTGTTTACATTTTTGCCACTGTATATTATTTTAGATTACAAACTGATAAGGTCTGTAGCTCTACTTATGTTGTGCTTAGTAAAAGAAAAAAAAGGAATGTATATAATTCCGTGATAATGATGGTGGCTTATTATAGTTGTATATTTAAAATTTTAAACATACATTCCTCTTCTTTCTTTAGATGGCAAGGAAGAAATTTACTGGATTAGAAATCTCTCTGATTGTCCTTTTTGTTATAGTTACTATTGTAGCTATTGCCCTTGTTGTTGTTTTAGCAACTCAGACACCTGCTGTTGAAGGTATGTGAAAATACTTATACATTATAGTGGGGTTAAGATAAAGTTTATGCCTTAATAGTTAGGATTTTTGAAAAGTAATCTATGTGAGATGAAACATGTGAAGAAATATATTGGGTAATTTACATAATTACTCCAACATTTTTATCCATTCTGTTCCAGTTATTTCAGTGAGGAGTGCTGGTAATTAAACAATTTATATGCTTTTGACATTAATGGCCTTCCTGTCATTGTGTTGCTTGAGAAATAGCAGAGGGGCCAAGGGGTCAAGGTGTTAATGGAAGGTGGAATAGTTGTCTACTGTTACCAGTAAGGTTCTTCTACTTAGTGGGATGACTTGGGTTTTTGTTCTGGCTTCCAGACACTTGCAAAGAGGGGTTGGAATATTAGACCCTCTTTGTCCTAGACTCTCTTTTTTTTTTTTTAAGGAGAGAGGTTGTGTGAGAAAAATAGATAGGAAAGGTGAAACAAGGCTTGAACCGTGAATGAACATTTTATCTTTTTTTCTGAATATTTCTAACCTAATTTAAAGTCGATGTAAACTACTCTGGTCTGCGTAATCTGTTTTTTTCCATCATTCTCTGTTGGCCAACCCAGAATTGGAAAATTATCTTTTAGTCTAACCTTAGTTAACATTTTCTACTGCTGTCAGTCTTTTGTTTTACCTTTCTCCAGTAAATTGAAAGTTCTCTATATTGTGAAGCAATCAATTTTATCTTACCCATATCTGATCACTAGAAAGTTCCTCTTTATTATTCAGTTGGGATTTATTTTCCATTCTATCCCTTGCTTTCTCTTCTATTCACTTCCAAGTATCTTTTTCCTCCTAGTTTTCTCTTTTCTTCTCTAATTCTTGTCTCCTCTCTACATCTTTTTCCCATCCATGTGTCTCCATCTTTTTTCTTCATTTCTAAAACACACATTACAAGTTGCTAGGGGAATGTGCATTTTGTTTCTTTTGAATCTACCTCAAGACCTTATGTGAAAATATTTGGTTTTTCTGAATAAACAGTAAGCAAGGCTCTGCATAGCCTATTTTTAAATATCATTTGGATCTTTTGATGACTAAGACTAATTTGTGGGTCCTTTTTTAATGGGAAATTTACTTTTATTTTCATTATATGTAGATTTATATGTCCTTTTACTGTATCAATTACTTTAAAATCTGGAAATATTAATTTAATACCATATTTTATTTTATTGATCTTTTCCAGAAACTAGTGATGCTATTTCAGCTGCACCTACTACTCATACAACCACTGTGTATCCTGGTTCTGGAAAATGTCCAAGTAACCCAAATGATCCTATCAATGAAAGAATAAACTGCATTCCAGGACAATTTCCAACACAGGTCTCCAAAAAAGCCCTTAGTATTTGTTACGAATAGATACACATTATAATAATTTTAAGACAATTCTTTAATATTGAATCAATCTCATATTTTTAAAGATCTAGCCATCAGTTAGGCAGCCTTTATCTTTTTATTGTAGTCCTGCATAGACAGATGATCAATAATAGAAAATATTGAGCTTGCTTTTCTGTACTTCAAATTAACAAGTTAATATTTTCTATGTTTAACAACCTAATGTTAATTTTGTAAACTTTTGTGAAATTCTAGCCTCTCAAATCTACTTAAAAAAACACATATAATCTTTGACAATATAGAACGTTTGGTAGAAAATAACTATGCTCCATTGGAGTATTTGTAATGATGGTTTTAAAAAGTATTTGTGGAAAATAAAGTAACACTGATTTTTTGAAAATGATTAGTATTTATTTTTTATTATTTTGTAATTGGGGAAAAGAAGCTTAAATGGAAAAAAAGAATAGTTGAATGGATTCATGTAACCCTAAGTTGAGTCTTCCTTTGTCTTCATAACCTACGTGTGAATAAAGGTCAACGAGTGCATATGTGTGTGTGTGTGTGTGTGTGTGTGTGTGTGTTCACATTTTTCAACATCTGTATATTATATGCAGTTCTGTAACATATTACAGCATCTAAATAATGTAAACATGATAGCATATATCAATCATAGTATATTACATATCTATCATAATATTCATATGTCTAATATATATCCTTTGTATGCATATAATATTCATAGCTATGAGATGGTATATTAAAATTATTATCTATAATATGCATTTCTGAATCTGACATCACCCATTCTCTTCACTGCTCACAAAATAACTAATGAACTAAATGACTGAAATTAGAAATAGTGGGTCCTTAGAGTCTACCTACTGATAAAACTGGGTAATAAAGTGTTAGCTGTGACAGGCTAGGTAAATTGGCCAGATACTCTTTTTAGCTAATATTCTGCTTAGGGAATGACTGAAGTTTATCACAGAAGTCTGTTCAAAACAAATGGGCTACTAGGATCTTAACATTGAAAAGCTAATGGATTAAGGTTTTGATGCCTACTCTTCATCTTTAATGTCGGCCTGTTAGGTTTCTAAAGACGGCTTTCAATGTGAAACAAACATAAACAGATTTCAGCAATATATTTTCTATTTGTCATTTAAAAAAGGAGAATGAACTTAAAATAGCAATTTAAGAGACAGTTATAATTCTACCCAGAATGTATCAGTCAGCGCAGGCTTCCATAATAAAATGACACAGACTAGGTGGCTTTAACAACAGATATTTATTTTCTCACAGTTCTGGACACCAAAAGTCAAAGTGCCATCACGATTGGTTTTTGTGAGATTTCTTTTCCTGGAGTGCAGATATCTGTATTCTAGCATCTTCGCATGGCCTTCCCTCTGTGAGAGAGGGGGTGGGGCAGAGAGACAGCATCTGTATATCTCTTCTTCATCTTGTAAAATATCTCCTATCAGATTAGAGCCTTGTACTTAGGACCTTTTCAACTTTAATTACATCCTTAAAGGCACTCTCTCCAAATACCATCAAATCAAGGGTTCCTACATATAAATTGTGGGGCCTCAATAAGTCCACAGTATAGAGTCAACCCACTGTACATTATTAGATTTAATTCTCTCTACACACAAAAAATAATAATAATAATACAAAATAAGAACATAACAAATTTATTGTGTTTTACTGTTAAACTTTATGCCTATTGATGGAATATTTATGTCTTTTAACTTTTTAGTTTTTCAAAGGAATCAGAAAGAAAATTGAAGTTAAATTAGGAATTAAAAGTAAAAGGGGAAAATGCCTGAAAACCTGACAAATAGGAAGAATGACGAAACATACATAAACATTTATCAAATTTATGCAAAATAAACCAAAATTATTAATACTTCAAAAGCAATAATGGAAATACATGTTTCTAAACTAATATTTTGGTGTATATATGCAATGGGTTTAATGAGATCCTCCAAAAACTTAGGTTTGAACATGACCTAGGTTGAACATAGGGTCTCTCAGAATTAGTTATATGAAGTCATATTCAGTTAAGGTTAACCATAAATCCAATGACAGGTATCCTATTAAAGGGTTGGAATGATACACAGAGAGCTACAGGGAAGAAGGTCATGTGACGATGGAAGTAGAGATTGGAGTAAGTAAGGTATCTTCAAACCAAGGAAGGCTTATGATTGCCAGACCATGAGAAGTTAAGAACAAATGAGGAAGAATTCATCCCTAAGCTTCAGGAGAACATTCTGCAAACACCTTGAATTGGGACTTCCAGACTTCAGAACTGTGAGAGAATAAATTCATGTTGATTCACCTACCCTTTTCATGGTTATTATGATAGCCCTAAGATACTAATGTTTGTAGAAACTTCATGTAACTCCATTTTACTGTATATTTTTTATTTTAGTAAGGTGTGACTATAATTTGCTTTTCCCTTGTTTTTAAAATTTAGGACCTTTCCATATTTCTAAATCAGCTTATCTATATCTAATTCTACTTTCTTGTTTTGTACCATTTAAAAAATACTTTTAATTTTATTTTTGATCATTTTAAAAATACTGACTTTTAATTTAAAAAATTCTTAATGTCAGCTTGTACAAGTATTTCTTTATATTTCTGAAAGTAAGTCTATAAATACAATAATTAGAAGGAAAGTTGCCTGATCAAAGTCAAACATACTTTAGATTCTGATAGATAATCACTCTCCAATATATCAGATTCAGTTGTACTCCTATTTAAAACATACATGTATGTGTCTGTATATAGGTGTGTATGTGTATCTGATGCCATTTTAATTTTATGTTATAGGAGAGAAGTTAACATGTATAACATCAGCTACTAAAAGTAGAGACATTTTACTTTTTTTCAAGGCAAATAGCCAAGAAACCCCCACCCCCCCACAGGTGTTCAACTTAGGAAAGTGTGTCATATTATTAAATTTAAATATTAAGTAGATTTTTAATTATAACATTAACAGACATCGTCATGTGGCTCAACTTTTCATCTAAGCATATATCATTTTTTTCCACTTCACATAATCTTTCCATATAGATTATAAAACTACTGAGAATTCAATATTTTGCTTAATTCATTAGGTATAACTAGTTGAACACCTGACACATAAACTAGTTTAGAGAGTTTAATTGAACATTGAACTAATAGCTGGAAATAACTATCTTAAACATTTTATGTAAGCTTAAATTCAGGTCTATATATTAATCTTTATATCCTTGCTTGCAGTTAGATACATAATTGGTATTCAACAAATACTTAGTTCTTCTGTCTTTACTACATGACAACAGAATAGATTATAATTATCCATAGTTCTAGAACCTTTAACATACTTGTGCTTACAATAATATGTATTAATATGTAAATTTGATAAATCACCATTCTGAGCATTATTCTCTGATATGGTGTAATTAATTCAATTAACCGAATATTTATATTTCTTCCAAGTGGCAGGAACAAAAAGAATAAATGATATTTTAACATATGTATTTGAAGAAATAAGCTTGCTTTTCAAGCATTCATTCAGCATTTGTTGGAATAAATGGTGTTTTTAAAATAGAGATTGACACATTTGATAACAGTACTAATCACATGATTCTTATAAATGTTTTATCAGGAAGTTTGTGCAAAGCGAGGTTGCTGCTGGAGTCCGTGGAATAACTCTCTTATTCCTTGGTGCTTCTTCGTAGATAACCATGGCTATTATGTTGAGGGAATGAAAAGTACAAATACTGGTGAGAAGTGTTTTCTATCATGGGATCCTATGTAATATATTTTAGATGTAATGAAAAAAATGTTTTACATTTTTCTTTGGAAAAACACTCAAGTAGAATCAAATGGGAAGTCTGTACACAAGAATGGTCAAATTGATTATATTAAGGATTATTTTTTATATGATTGTATCTTCCAAATTGAAGAGTCATTATTTGTGATAAAGGAATAAAATTATAAAAACATGAAAAATATTTAGTAATTATTAATCTTTATAAACAAAGTCATCACCCATGCCAACTTTTTCCTTTCTTTAAGGACTTGAAGCCAAATTGAACAGGATACCTTCTCCTACACTATTTGGCAGTGACATTAACAGTGTTCTCTTCACAACTCAAAATCAGACAGCCAATCGTTTCCGGTTCAAGGTTTGGTTTTTGAGATTGTAAAGAAGAGTTAATAATAAAAGACATGTTATGAGCACACCCTTCATCCTAACCAAGATATTTTACCTCTTGAGATATATTTATTGCAAATCCAAGTTCTAATTGGACTAGTTACTCTATTCTGATCCTGTTGTCTACTCCAAATAACAGAAGAAATCTCCAGCAGTTATTTTTGGAGAATTACCATGACTGTATAGTCATGGTAAAGTATTTGACACATAGTCTAAAGAAGAATAAATACTCAATAAACTTTAGTAGTTTTTTTACTATTTCAACTACAGACTATGAAGAGGAAATAGTTCAAAATTTAATTTGAGAAGGTGTTAAGTTACTATATAAAAGTGACTTCCACTCACTAGTTCTTTTTACTGGTATCAGTTGTACTCAAGAAGAAAAAAAAAACTAGCTACTTTTTAGCAAGTAGTTCACTAGTATGGTCGTCTGGATTTAGAAGTGAAAATACCGTATCCCTTGTATATTACCTTTTTTAGCAACAATTTCACAAGAAATAAGAGATTCTTAAAATTCAGAATCTTTATAGGATTTTTAGGGGGGTGAACACAGAAAAGCAATAAGGATAATTAAATCCACAAAAATTTAATTTTTGAGAATCAACATTTAGTAATGCTATCATTAATTTTATCGATGAAAAAAATTTTATATATAGTACTTTTATAACCATATTCCTTAAGAATTTATACAATTTATTCTTTGCATAGCCATTCAACAATGTTTAAATTAAGTTTATCACTAGATTAATAACTCATCTATTATATTATTAGATGTAATTTTTATTGTAACTTGCATTTAATACTTAATGCAGAAGTGGAAAATTAAAAAATAGTTTTGAATCACGTATGTTAATTTGTTTAAATCTTTACAGATTACTGATGCAAATAATACCAGATATGAAGTTCCTCATCAATTTGTAAAAGAATTTACTGGAACTGTAGCTTCTGAAACATTGTATGATGTGCAGGTTAAAGAAAATCCATTTAGTATCAAAGTTATCAGAAAAAGCAATAACAAAATTTTGTAAGTCATTATCTTTTCTACATTTAGATAAGTTTAAATAAGTGGTCAATTTTATTCTATTATCATAGAATTAAGAAAGTCTTAACTTTAAGACATCTTCAGAAAGAATAAAGGTCCCCCAAAAGAGGGTGGGTGTACATCTTTGTAAAGATTATAATGGTTAACAGGATTTTATTCCCTGTGGATGGAAGGAAGGTGTGAGAATGTGAATGAAAATACACAAATTTGGACCAACCAAAGATGAAGGGGAAGAACATCACTGACAAAATTTTTGCCTTGCCTATATTTTTGCATACAAAGAATTGTGTCCTTTCTCCATCATTTATCACATTGTTGCCAATTTGTATAGGATCAAATAGGACTATATGTATAAAGTATTGTGTAAATAACTTCATTAAGAATGTATTTCAAGTAATATTCATAGCAAGGAATTTAGTAATTTTCAAGATAAATTTCCTTGCATTTTTGTAGATAGATTAAGCAATTGTCAAGACTGAATCTGATCAATACTACTTCTCTTCAATATATTTTAATAATTTGTGATTGATTTTAGGTTAAATCACAGAAGTGTCAAATGACATTTAACATTTCTTGTATTATGTATTTGATATGCATAAAACAAACCTTTTTCTTTTTGGAAAAATGATTGTGAACTTAATTTTAATATATATATTTGGGGTATGGAAGCCAATACATCTCTGTGTTTTCAAATCCTGTCTCTTGAGCAAGGCAGAACTGGGTTTGAAATCTGGCTCAGCTGTTTACCAGTTTCTCACCTTAGAAAAAATGAATTAACTTAGTCAATTTTTGTTATTTTTGAACTGGAATTTGTTAGTTATGCTAAAAAAATAAAGAAAAAAGAGCTGTGATGAAGATTTAAAGGACAGATGCCTGTGAAGAATCATATTAGTGATGATGAAGCAAATTGTGTTGATGGAATCAACAATTTCTGGTTAGGGTGTAATTCATGTGTTCCAAAGAAGTAATCATGGCTAAAGAATGACATATTTGAAATGAAACATTCTGGATAATAACATAGAACCATATTTGATAGAATATTTTATGTTTTTCAGATCATTTATTTCTTTTTTTCATGGTACAGATTTGACACCAGTATCGGTCCCCTGGTATACTCTGACCAGTACTTACAGATCTCAACCAAACTTCCCAGTGAATATATGTACGGCTTGGGGGAACATATTCATAAGAGATTTCGTCATGATTTGTATTGGAAAACATGGCCAATTTTTACTAGGGATCAACTTCCTGGTGATGTAAGGAACTTCCTTGTTAAAAGTAAAACCATATTAGGGCAGACAATAATGTTACCCTATTTGAAACCATCTTTTAACTGATGTCAGTGGTACCCAATCCAGAAGATTGTTTACTTAAGGGGTGAGGATTGATAGCAATGTCCTAAATTAACTCAATAAGTAACTGACAGATTTTATAAATGTTTAAATAGATTTTATTATTCCCTTTCTAATCACTCCTGTATTTAAACCTCTCCTTGGCTAGTCATTGTACTAGACTAATACTAAACATTTAACATGTTCTACGTGGTTTTGTACTATATGGTGCCTGCCTATCTTTTGGACAGCATATCATACATATCTGCCTACTTTTTCTTCTTCCATAACATATGATAATCTTCCAGAAGTACACACATTTGCACAGGGGGTTAGTTTTCTTTCTAAGTATGGAAACAAAGTTTTTTATTATTCATAAAATAGGACATTGAGAACTTATTTAAAGTTTTACCTCAAGAATTTCCCTTAAACTCCCCCATACATGATTAGTCTTTATTTTCTAACCCTTTATTCATATCTTAGTATGACAATTATCATGGTGTATTACTTACATATATATTGTTTATACTTCTAGATTATATTATTTAGGACAAAGACTATATCATTTAAAAAAATTATTTTTGATTGGTTCATGACTGCTTTAATCAAATGTTAGTGATTTTTTAAATGACAATGCTAAGTATTTCATTCCCAAAAGAGAGTAACTTGTTTTAAAAAGCCTCATTTGGTACAGATCTACTAATAAATTCTGCTAATCTTTACTTATAGCATCATTATCTGTAATAAACACTAGGTGGAGAACCTCGTAACTATTTTCTATACATTCTTTCCTTTGAATCTCCATATTTAATCAGGCAAGAAATCTCTTTTCTTTGACCATAAAAATGTATTTTCAACTTGCTTCCACCATTTCATCTATTTATCAGCTCTCAACAAATGTACAACCAAAGTTCTCTGAAGGTGGGCATCATCTTAAAATTCACTGCTGTGTCTTCAGCATATGGGAGGCATAATGGGTAAAATGCCTTGTGAAAATAGAAATAGCATATTAAAACATTTAATTGTAATAAAACATAAAGGGAAGTTAAGCCACCTATTAGTAGTATAATGTGTATGTTAGCTATATATTTTATCTTAACATATTAATAATTAATACATGTTAGATGTCTTTTGCACTACACTGTTTCAGATGGTACATATAGTAGGAAAATTGGGATAGAGATTTCAGTATTAAATGACAGAAACAAACTAGAATTTGTAAAGGCCACTTTTAGTCATATTATCTTTTATTTTAAATATACTTAAAATTTTAATTTTCCAAACTTTGTTTCATAGAATAATAACAACTTATATGGCCATCAAACATTCTTCATGTGCATTGAAGATATTTCCGGAAAGTCATTTGGTGTTTTCTTAATGAACAGCAATGCAATGGGTAAGAGTATTTATCTGATAATATGTTTAAATGTGATTTAACTTGAAATGTTTTAACTGCTCTCTTTATTCCAATCATAGGTATGGTATACCAGAGTAAACTCTATTGCTTATCATTTCATATGTGAGATTATTATAAGCAAGTTTTGTTGTTAGTGAGACAATAAAGTTTTGCATATTAGTGCTTCTATTTTTGGCAAGAGTATGCTGTATTTTGATATTCAGGCACTTTCTTTTCCCTTCAGAGCATCATGGAAACACATTCATATAAATTAATGTTCCCATTCATTCAGCTTCATTTGTTAAATTTACATGTCACTATAAATAAAAAGGAGAAAGGTCTGTAAAAGGATAGAAAGAAGGAAAAATTTTTAGTTTATCATAATTCAAGTAATTTATCATTTTTTTAATGTTGTTAGTCAAATACCTATATTTAGGAAGTAAATATTGATATTAAAAAGCTACAAAAATTAATATTCTAGCAAAGGCAGTATAGTGATCCAGGCAATTATTATGTCTTACATATAGAAAAACTGAAAACCTCTGTATTTATCTTAGAAATTAACATGCCATAATATGATCTTTCAGAAAATCTTCAACTGAAATAACTAATTGAAATGAAATTTCAGAGTGAAATCTTCTTGTTGAAAAAGAACTGAGTATCTGTCTCTTGCTGTGTGGTTCCTAAGGGTGCTTTTGCCAATATCTGTAAAAATATACACCTGAGATATCTTATCATAAACCTCATACACATTTGGCATTCTACTTCTCTCTTCTATTCTTTGTATATTCAGTATCTTATTTTCTTATAATTTTTTAAAAACTGTAAAAAATATGCAGTTAATCTGAAGTATTTTAAGTGGACACTGCAATTACTTTATCATTATGTACCTCCCTTTTTATAATTTGCATATGCTTTTCCAATTTTTATTTTGTAGAGGTTTTTATCCAGCCTACTCCGATAGTAACTTATAGAGTTATAGGTGGCATTCTGGACTTTTACATCTTTCTAGGAGATACACCAGAACAAGTAGTTCAACAGTATCAAGAGGTATGATTGATGTTTATTTTATTAAATTCTTTCTACCATATTTGCTTTCATCTAGCATGTCTACATGCTTAAGTAATTTTATTTGTGATATCTGGCGCCTCTTCACTAAATGTATTTTCAAATTTTACCATTTTTAAGACATGAGTTAGGTAGTTTCTATTTTTGTTTTAACTATACAATGTAGCCTATGTATATTTAAATTTCTATATTTCTGATATCAAATCATTTCTTCTAGGCTGCTGAGCTCAGGGGTTAGATTTCATTGAAACATTACATATTAAATCTTTACTTGTTCATGACCTACTTTGGTGGGAAAATGTAAAAGGAAGTGTCTTAATCAAGACTGAGGATAGGCAATGGAAGTACAGGCCATGTATTCCTTTGATAAATATGCTAGAGTTAACCGAATTATGAGAAAAGCTAATGGACCTTGTTGACATATAATAGGTAAATTCCAGGAAAATTGGCTCTGACACTGAGGCTTAAAAGGGCAAATATTGAAACATAGTCAGTCTTACATCTTAAGGTTAGTGTCTAAGCAGCTTCTGCTTACCTATTAAACAAAATCCTAATGTACCTGAGTTCAGGATGGACCTTAGAGAGGTAAAGACTCCAGAGCATGCCCTGAGCCTGCTTCTAAAACTTTATTCCATATAATTGTTCTCCTATGACTGTTTCATGTATAATTCTTTGTGTTATCATGGGAAAAGTACATTATTTTTATTGGTGTAAGATTTAAAGATCATGCCTATTTTTAAAATCTTGTTTTATTGATAAATCTTTTGACATATAGTTTCTACTTCCTAAAATGATCTCAAAGGAGAAGTAATTACTATAAAAACTTTAATTAGGAAGCAAAAATCCAAAATGAGAGTAGCTAGGCTTTCATACAATTGAATAATTTTTAGTGTCTACAGTTCCCAAATTGCCATTCATAAATGTGAATTTCAGAAAAGCACACAAATTTAAATTTTCTGTAACATGAAATCATAATTAGGATGCTAGGATGGCCATATACAGACTTTGTGTATGGGTATCACACCATCTAAATGGGACAGCACATTTTTTTTAAATGATTTGACATTTGATTTGTGAAAGTGAAATATTACTTGTGATAGTTGTCGGTTACTTGCTGAGTAAAGTCTGTGGTCATCAGCGGTTAAGTTTGAATCACATTTGACATGTGAATGCATCATACACGTAGTAATGTACTTGTTTATATCATTTTATGGGTAGACTTGCAGAGGCTTGAATTTAAGTAATAAAAGATTAAGTAATAAAACATGTAGAATGTAGAATATAACACTGTTAATCACTACTGTGCTTGAACAAGAGTCAAATTATGTAGAGAGTAAGCAAAAGAAACTTTATTTTTATTTGAAGAAAAACAAATTCCTTCCTGTATTAGGTAATCTATTAGTGGTCTCATATGTAAAAATTTAAAACAATTCATTTGAGTGGCCAAATAGTTTTTATAAGTTTTAAAGACAATGAATATATATAAAGTATAAGATAAATGATATATAAATATATATAGCATACTATTAATATATTTTATATAGTTTTGTGAAAAATAAGTTATGTCACATATATATATATGTTACACATACACAGAAATACCACATCTAAATCTTAAAAGAAAATTCATGATGTTTTTGAATAGTTTAAAGTACTGATATTTTTAGTGTTTTATTTGATACCAAGTTATATTAAAAATAAATTCAATGCTTAAATTGAATATAATAGCTCAACGTGAGTAATTAAACAAAAATCAACATAGTAGCTTTTTAGATGACAGAGAAATCACAGATCCAAAATATGTATATATGGCTAAACCAAAGAAAAGCCGTCATACCAAATAAAGTTATTTGTCTTAATGTAACATAATACTTGGTTTTTGGTGAAAAAAATTGACTAATAAGGGTGAATGTAATAACCGCAGTTATTCTTGTGAAACCTTCATAAGAGTGCATATCAATGATACCTTAATAAAAATAATTGACTATCAATTATGTGAAAAAGCATGCCCTTTGTTTGTTGTAATGAGACATTAAAAATCTGTTATGGTTATGCACTGAGCCTTCTTGGGCCACTGAGGGAGTGGAAATAGGAGGTTCTATTGGCACCCGTAAGAAGGGAAGAAGTCAAAGTCTGTAGGTGAATGAGATAATTACCTTATGAAAAAAACAGGTGAAAGCCTTGTATAACATATATTTTATTAATAGTTTTGAAAAACAGGAGAAAAATAAGTGCCAAAGTGTAAGGGAATAGTAATTGCATACTTTAAAACATCTTTTTTCTTATAGATGATCATTTATTCATTCATTTTCTTGCTATGGTAAGTGGGAGCGTGGTAGAACAATTTCCTTTTTCTTTTATCTCTTTGATGCTATCCTATTCTTTTTAATCTATCATGCTAGGCAAAATATACCTATACAAATGCTAGTTTTTTAAGTGTTAATTTTCTAATTTTTAACACAAAATAAATAAAAGTGAGTGACAAAACATTAACTGGTTAAGTGTCTCATAATGAAATTCTAACAGAATATACAGGACACATTTCAAAATATGGGTAACACTAAATGTTTTAAATATGAAGTTTAATTTTAAGTTAGCTATATGAATGCTAGAGATATAACAGCATAAGAAGCATATTTAGTATTAGTATCTAATGCTCTTTATTGCAACTAATTAAATATCCGTTTACTTCAAGCTCATTGGACGACCAGCAATGCCCCCATATTGGAGTCTTGGATTCCAACTGAGTCGCTGGAATTATAAGACACTTGATGTAGTGAAAGAAGTGGTAAAAAGAAATCGGGAAGCTGGCATACCATTTGTAAGTGGGATGAAGTGTTTGTGGGACTATGTAACAACTTAAATATTACCATATAATAAAACAATTAGGAAATTATCTGGGTTATCATCTATATCTATGTCCATATCTTACCCATATAAGGATTATTAAACTGTTTTTTAATGACAAAGTGAATTTTATTTTATTTCCGTACGTAATACCCAATTCTGTCTAAAATTTTGAGAAATGATTGAGTCATACTAGAACAGAATACATATTTAACTGTGAAAAAAATCATTTGTTTTTAATTTAATTTTTCTAACAGACTATTTTTTGAAGCGTATGGACTTTTAAATGTTATAAAAATGTATTTTATGCAATGTGTAGGTAATGTGTATGGGATTCATTGTGTAGATATATTATGCATATATAATCATTTAATGCTTTTGTACTTAAGAATTGGAAAAACTAGTTTTATAAACAGAATCACTGCATCTTTAGTGAAATAAAGGGGACATAAGTTCATTTACTTCTTAATTATATTTGTATATACATTCATTGAACTTAAAGATTGAAGTGATTGGAAAGTTTTTTCAGTACTGTTTATTGAAATGTACTCTGTTAATTTTCAGGATACACAGATCACCGATGTTGACTATATGGAAGAAAAAAAGGACTTCACTTATGATGATGTTGCATATCAAGGGCTCCCTGAATTTGTTCAAGATTTGCATGATCATGGACAGAAATATGTCATCCTTTTGGTAATGACTGATTATAATATTAATATATTTTTAGTGTTTATATCATTGAAAGTTAATTTTCTTCAATTTTTTCTTTCTATTATTAGGACCCTGCAATTTCCATAAATAAACGTACCAGTGGAACAGCATATGAATCCTATGAGAGGGGAAATGCACAACATGTGTGGGTAAATGAGTCAGATGGGACTACACCAATTATTGGAGAGGTAAATTATGATATTCATTAAAGTTGTGTTGCTCAGGTTTTCTATTGTGCAACAATAAAGTTTTTGTAAAGGTGTGTGTGTACATTTGTGTATATTTGTTTTCAAATCTGGATTTGATATTTTGATTGCATGGAGAAATTTTAGAAATATTCCAATAGTTCTAATAAAACAGTTATTTTAAGAAGACATAATTTTCAATGTTATATACACAACTAAAGCTAACAAATATAATTAAAATTATTTAAAAATTCTGATAATTTGATGTCGATGTCAAATAATTGCATATATAAATTGATTATTTTCTGCCAAGTATTAAGTTTTATTTTGCACATTTAATCCTAACAATAAAACAATGAAATAGCTATGATTAAATTCTTACTCTACAGGTGAAAAAAAGTGAATTTGAGAGAGGTGAGGTAACTTTTCTAATATCATAGAGCTAATAAGGAGCAGAGTCAGAAAGCTGACTAGCTTCCAAATGCATAATTTTTAACCAATCTAGATATTTTTTCAGAGACAACTTTGTAAAACATATCAAAAACCATGTCTAGATACACTGACTTAATAATTCCATTTTTATAATTTAATCAAAAGAAATAGGAGAAATTTATAAATATATCATTTATAAAAACATGTTTATTTTGGCATTATTTAGAATAATGAATATTCTAACTACCATCTTTTATCATATTCATGAAAGTTAAAATTTCTGTTTGAAATGCTTCTTCAAATGATTATGAGCTCCATAAGGAAACAAAAACAGAACTTCCTCACAACAACCCTATACTTACTCTCATACAATACAGTTTGTTAATATCTGTTCTGTTGGATGTGGAGAGATCATATAGTCAGTATGTATAATTTGGGTATAAAACAGTATTATTTCACCCACCTATCTGAAATTGAATTCATCTTGCCTAACATCGTTATTTTAAATAATAAGTAAAATAATTTAAAGAGGCATAAAACATAAACAGCATAGATGTACAGTGTATTTTAAAGCATGAATTCAGGTATTGCCCAGGTTGGAATTCTTTCTGCGGCACTCATTAGTTGTGTGGCCTTCAGTAACTCACGTAACTTTGTTCATCAATTCTCTCCTCTGTAAAATGGGTTTATTTATAGTACCTACCACTTCTGTAAAAGTGATGAAATTAAGTTCCTATCTCCTAAAATTTTAGTAAAGATTCAAACAATTTAAAATGCTTGGAAGAGGGCCCAGCATATGTGTCATATTTATTTTTGTTAAAAAAATATGTATACAAGAAACTTTTTTAAAGATTTTGTTGTCATTAATCTACAATTATATGAAGAACATTATGTTTACTAGGGTCCCCCCTTCACCAAGTCCCCCCCACAAACCCCATTACAGTCACTGTCCATCAGTGTAGTAAGATGCTGTAGAATCACTACTTGTCTTCTCTGTGTTGCACAGCCCTCTCCATGACCCCCTGACATTATACGTGCTAATCGTAATACCTCCTTTCTTTTTCCCCACCCTTATCCCTCTCTTCCCTCCCATTCTCCCCAGTCCCTTTCCCTTTGGTAACTGTTAGTCCATTCTTAGGTTTTGTGATTCTGCTGCTGTTTTGTTCCTTCAGTCTTTTTTTGTTCCTATACTCCACATATGAGTGAAATCATTTGGTGTTTGTCTTTCTCTGCCTGGCTTATTTATACCCTCTAGCCCCTTCCGTGTTGTTGCAAATGGTAGGATTTGTTTTCTTCTTGTGACAAGAAGCTTTTTACTTATATATTTTTTAAAGCAAATGTTTTCGGGAATGAAGTAATGTTTAATGAATGAAAGAAAGTTATTTTATCAGGCAATTTCTATCTACCACCAAAGATAGATATCAAACTATCAAAAAATAGTTTTCCTTTGTTTTGCAACCTAACCTATTAAAATGCTAGGAGATAAATTTAGTTACAGTGTAAATAGCAGCCTTATACCATGTTCTTATATTTTTTCCTTTCTAAATGCTTCATTAACATACTTGCCCTTTACTGCATTTTAAATTAGGACTGAGATTATTGTAAACATAGATGGTGAATCGATCACATATACCTCAAGAAATACAAAATTATAACTATAATATTTTTTTTACTATTCTTCATTCAATTAGATTGAATCCTTATTTATTTATTTATCTTTTTTATTTATGTATGCGTGTATGTGAATGATCTATACTTCCAGGTATGGCCAGGACCAACAGTATACCCTGATTTCACAAATCCAAACTGCATAGATTGGTGGGCAAATGAATGCAGCATTTTCCATAAACAACTGCAATATGATGGACTTTGGATTGTAAGTACCTATTTTAAGCCAGTGATACTGGACAATGAACATAGAATTATTTTTCTATAAAATAATTATTAAGTCTGACAAGATATGTTTTGTGTTGTGTCAAACACAAAGTTAAAAGCTTTTAAAATACTTCTCTAGATGTATAAATATTATACTTGTCATGTTCATGAGTTAGAATACAAACTAAAAACTTAAAACTGAGATTTTTCTTCTCCAATAATACATTTTATAGAATAAATTTAATGTATGTCACAAAGGTATCTCTTTTTTGACAAATAATTACTTAATATAAATTAAAAGTTTCTTTATTTTTTCTTGCTAGGAAAGAATTTGACTCCATTAGAGTAGAATTACAAGTATAAATGACACTTTAGAAATAGTGAAAGAGAATTTGGTCGTGCTATAGGAAGAGATCCATTTCCTACATCCATTGAAGGCTGAAATATCTGATCCATCCAAAGAAAGGGAGGGAAGGGGAGAAAGAAGAGCATCTGAAAAAGAGTTGTTCTGATATAATACAGATGCTTAAACACATGCACAACTAATAATCCATATAAGCTTCCAAAGGACATTTAATATCACTGAAGTAACACATAGAGTGTATAAGTTGTGGATATACAGCTTATACATTGAATTACTATATGAATAATTCCAGCTTTTATTTGTATTTGAATTATTGCCAAATCCTACTGCTAAATTGTTTCTTTAATTGTTTCACTTTCTTCAGATTATTTTTCTGATGGCATGGATATACAGTAAAAAGTAGTGTTGTTATTTAACTGACAAATTTTTATTTTTATGTCAAATTTAAAAATAGTTTTATAATTTAATAGATTTCTAATATAGATTCCATGCTGTTTTTGAATTTTAAGTTTAAATGTCAAAATCACTTTAGAAAAGTACATTAGTTTGAAAAATAGATTGTTGCATATAAACATATAATGCACTTGAATTCTCTTTTTCTGCATCACTCTTGAGATAATTTAATAATTAAGAAATAAGAGCCTACTGCATTTGGTATAATTAAGATCAAAACTGTGCTTTCAAAATAAAAGCATTAGTTAATATTTTAAAATTCAAAGACCATTTCCACTTTCTGAACAAATAGGTGTCTCTTTGTAGTCATGTTGCTTACATTTATTTCATTCTTAAAATCTAATAAGCAGCATTCTTTTGTAAAGAAGTCTAATAATTTAAAGTATAGTATTAGGAAACTTAAAATGCATTGAGAAGAAATATCCAAACACATTCCATATCGAAATAACTGAGGGCTCATTTGGTTATATTCTCTTCACATTTTATATAGTTCCTATAAAAATTGAATTATTTAAAAAATATGAGAAAAATGGAGCTATTTAAATTTAGATTTACTTTAAATATGAAATTATAAAAAAACACTAGATTTTTTTTTCTACACAATTTTCAATGGATCTTAAGAAAAGAACATTCAGAAATCTCTCTATAAACAGTATTGACAATTCCTAGAAATAGCCATTGCTTGACTTCAGATGATTTGAACGTGACTTAAATATCTCTAGGTACACTAGTTACTATAAATCCACTGAGATCTTTGCCCCATCATTTACGGTGCTTTGAATCTACTGATTGTAAAATGTATGTGCTAATCAAATTTATTTTTACATGGCATTAGGGAAAGGTAGCATTACTTAAATTATTTGGTTAAGTTAGTGAAAAATAATTTCCAAGAGGGCAGATATACAAAATACATAAAAATACAAATAATTTCTATTAAATTGTGTGTAGTAACTCTAACCTATCTTACCAATGAAACAAGATATTTCAATAAATGATAAATAGCAAATGCTGTACTTATTATAAAATATGATTAAAATCATGTTAAAGTGTTATGTTTTTTTTTCCTTTAGAAGGTTAATAATTTATCTTCTTGAGTACAGAAGACTCTTTTCCCTAATATTGTGAACCAGTGAAAATATTACATCTGATTTAATCATGTACATGGGTGCATGATAAAACTTCTAAATGTTTTTAATCTATTCTTTCACATGAAATCAAATACTGTTTTTCTTTAAAAATCATGTTTATTCTTAAATTACATAAATAATGTATATTTTGAGTGAATGCTGGAGGGTCTTGTGAATTTTATTTCATGTTTGCAAATATGTAATTCAAATAGACCAACACTAATTCCATAGCTAAATGTATTGCCCTTGCATTTCTTCATTGAATATTATATGCAGGAGGTGTTAACATAGTCTAGAAAAAGACTTAAAATTTAAAATAATTCAATTCTGTCCTCAATGTGAATTTTGGCAATTGAAGTTATTTTGAATTTAATTGATGGATTCATGAAGAAAAATTACATAGGTTTATCTAAAATTGTTGGCTGTGTAACTGTTAATGCAAAATGTTCCTTTGCATTAATATTCCTGGGCATAGGAAAACAAAATTGAATATAATATCCAGGGAATCTCAATAAAATAAACCCAATGTATACTTTATTTAGAATAATTACACACTTTTCCTTATTTATGGCTATTAAAAAAGTTTGAGAAATGTAAACGTTTTTTAAAATCTATGCAACAGGGAGAAATTTGGTCTTTTCCTCCCATGAGCATCCTTAAATATCTCCCATTAATTCCATCTAAGTGTGACATGGAGGGAAGAGGGAAGAGAATAAAGAAAATATACTTTTGTGGAAAACAAAATTAACAAGGAACTTGACTGAGTGTGATACCTTTGTGACAGCAAAGGCAACATATAGAGATGTGGGAAATAAAGCCCCAAAATGTGTGGAAGTCTATCAATGCAATGAACATGAGAAAAATACACATCTTGAGCATGTGTAGAGTGACATATAATTTTATATACACTACTTTTTTTTAACCCAAAGACTTTAATTAACTGGCTATGGTCATAGATCTAGTAAGTGGCAAGACAAGATTGGTGCCTAATTTTATAAGGCATAAAAGTCTGTAAATACAATACCCCACAACTCTGTTTCCGGAGATATTTAGGTTGCCTTTTCTCATAATGTGGTCCAGCAGCCCTAGGGTTCCCTGAGACTCTTCTAGGGATTCAGTAAGGTCATAAATATTTTCATTAGAACAGTAAACAGCTACTTGCTTTTCTCACTTTCATTCTTTCATGGAAATATAGGAGTGGTGGGCTAGGTAAAGAAGGCTGTGCCTAGCTGCTGGCAGTGCCCATCACAGAAACAAGATAAATGCCAGCTGAAATGAACAAACTATGTTGAGTAAATGAAATATGACAGAAAAGTGTACAGTGATAGGCTTACAATGAGAAGATTGATATAACTATTTAGAAAAGAATTGCTTAATATGTATAATGTGATTAATATTTTATATGTATGTTTAAAACTAGGTAAATTAAGCACATTGTGGTTGTATATAATCCCTGAATCCCATTTAAGATACCTGGCATATACATTTATGCAAGAGAAAATCATATAATTTTTCTCAGTACAATGACTTGTCCATACCTGGAGGGAAAACCAAGTAGAAAGCATAGTTAAGCAAGTTTCATTTTAGGCAGGTAAACATAGGAGTAAAAGAATATCATGGCTGCCTTAGATAAAATATTGTAAACAACTAAAGAGTTCTGTTAATATGGCTTAGAATTACTTAAAATGTGCCACTTTTCATTTTTATATCCATTTAGGATATGAATGAAGTTTCCAGTTTTGTACAAGGTTCACAGAAAGGATGCAGTGACAACAAACTGAACTATCCACCTTACACTCCTGGTAAATTTCATTTGGTTATCTACTTACCATTAACTGAGAATAATTTTCCTTGTTGAAGGATAAATTCCAACATATATTTCTACATTGCAAACTTTGTTCTAATTTTACAACACTGAAATCACTGTGTTTTTTGTTTGTTTTAATTTTGGCTAAAATATTGATGCATAAGAAAAGGAACTTGATTTCCAATCTACGTATAGGATATTGATTTATCTTTACCACTATTAAACTGCCCATGTTTAAATAATGAATGAAAATAAACAAAAGTTGTTTTGCTATCATAATTTAAGTGATCAAATTTTTTCCATGAGCACTCTGTTATAACTCTGCGCAGTTATTAAAATGTACCTAATATGAATAATCATATCTCACATATTCTAAAAGATGTTTCCTAACATTTAAAGTTAGTGAACAAATTTAGCTATAGAAAAAGGTGTGCTCTTAGAGGAGTAGATTGCTCTAAGGATATATAAAGAAAGATGATAATTACTGTATCCCTATATAAGCCTACAAATTAAGGCACAATAAAAAATTGAAAAGCAGAGATTTAAATGTTTTGTAATTGAGTAATAGGTCTACATGTGTAAAATTAGATTATATTTAAATTAGCTAATCTACTATAAAACTTTAAAATAGGCCTATAGTTATGCAATATACAATACAGTGTGTATATGTCTTATTCATTACTAAAGGCTATTTTATTCTATGGATTTGTTTATTAACAAATAATTAATAAATTATTTTGAGTAATTTGCTTACTCAATAGTGTAAGTGCAAATTTAATGGTTAATAAACAGAAGTAAATGGACTTAGCTTAAATTGTCCTCTTTCATCGTTTTTAAATGAAGTATGGTATTACATAGCATATCATTTAAGGATTACATTTAAAATGGCAAAGTATTTTTTAAGGAAAAGTTCTTATGTATTTTCTCTAAGATATTCTTGACAAACTCATGTATTCCAAAACAATTTGCATGGATGCTGTGCAATACTGGGGAAAACAGTATGATGTTCATAGCCTCTATGGATACAGCATGGCTATAGCCACAGAGAAGTAAGTGCAATTTCACTTAATCTCTTTCATATTTATTATCTAGAAATATATTTGATAATTTACTAATATAGTTGGAAAATAGCAAGACTAAGAAAGCAAAGAAAGATAATATTTTACTATTAAAATTTAGGACATTAAAAACATCACTTTTTACTAATATTCACAAATTTGTAAATTAGTTATACATATACTACAAGGTATATTGATTAAACTGTGATTATTTTGAATTCGTAGATTTAAAATATCCTAAAGGAGTAAAAGAATATCATGGCTGCCTTAGATAAAATATTGTAAACAACTAAAGAGTTCTGTTAATATGGCTTAGAATTACTTAAAATGTGCCACTTTTCATTTTTATATCCATTTAGGATATGAATGAAGTTTCCAGTTTTGTACAAGGTTCACAGAAAGGATGCAGTGACAACAAACTGAACTATCCACCTTACACTCCTGGTAAATTTCATTTGGTTATCTACTTACCATTAACTGAGAATAATTTTCCTTGTTGAAGGATAAATTCCAACATATATTTCTACATTGCAAACTTTGTTCTAATTTTACAACACTGAAATCACTGTGTTTTTTGTTTGTTTTAATTTTGGCTAAAATATTGATGCATAAGAAAAGGAACTTGATTTCCAATCTACGTATAGGATATTGATTTATCTTTACCACTATTAAACTGCCCATGTTTAAATAATGAATGAAAATAAACAAAAGTTGTTTTGCTATCATAATTTAAGTGATCAAATTTTTTCCATGAGCACTCTGTTATAACTCTGCGCAGTTATTAAAATGTACCTAATATGAATAATCATATCTCACATATTCTAAAAGATGTTTCCTAACATTTAAAGTTAGTGAACAAATTTAGCTATAGAAAAAGGTGTGCTCTTAGAGGAGTAGATTGCTCTAAGGATATATAAAGAAAGATGATAATTACTGTATCCCTATATAAGCCTACAAATTAAGGCACAATAAAAAATTGAAAAGCAGAGATTTAAATGTTTTGTAATTGAGTAATAGGTCTACATGTGTAAAATTAGATTATATTTAAATTAGCTAATCTACTATAAAACTTTAAAATAGGCCTATAGTTATGCAATATACAATACAGTGTGTATATGTCTTATTCATTACTAAAGGCTATTTTATTCTATGGATTTGTTTATTAACAAATAATTAATAAATTATTTTGAGTAATTTGCTTACTCAATAGTGTAAGTGCAAATTTAATGGTTAATAAACAGAAGTAAATGGACTTAGCTTAAATTGTCCTCTTTCATCGTTTTTAAATGAAGTATGGTATTACATAGCATATCATTTAAGGATTACATTTAAAATGGCAAAGTATTTTTTAAGGAAAAGTTCTTATGTATTTTCTCTAAGATATTCTTGACAAACTCATGTATTCCAAAACAATTTGCATGGATGCTGTGCAATACTGGGGAAAACAGTATGATGTTCATAGCCTCTATGGATACAGCATGGCTATAGCCACAGAGAAGTAAGTGCAATTTCACTTAATCTCTTTCATATTTATTATCTAGAAATATATTTGATAATTTACTAATATAGTTGGAAAATAGCAAGACTAAGAAAGCAAAGAAAGATAATATTTTACTATTAAAATTTAGGACATTAAAAACATCACTTTTTACTAATATTCACAAATTTGTAAATTAGTTATACATATACTACAAGGTATATTGATTAAACTGTGATTATTTTGAATTCGTAGATTTAAAATATCCTACAAAATTTCTATTCAGTTTGCTATGTCTGAATAATTGTGTTCTAAGCATGAACTTCACAGTTGACCTGGGAGAATGGTGCTGTGAGAATATCTTTAACTGTTTTTAAAAAACAAGGGTTTCAATTAAAATTTGGTTTTCTGTGTAGTAGTTCCCAATTTTCTAATGAAATATGTTCCCTGTATATAAGAAAGGAACATGTACAAAACAAAAGAAGCAGACAGTCATTTGATTGCCTACTACTTTCTGACCATTGTATAAAGACCTATAAGGCAATAGTCAATATGACCTAGACCTTGGCCTCAATACGTTTTTAATTTTCTCATTATAAAATATGATTGAGTTTTAATTTAAACTCATGTTTGTCTGGTCCAAACTCCTACCATGAAATCAAAACTTTTATACACTGTCTTCATAGTGTTTGTTTACTTCACTTTTTAAACATACTGTATAAATAAATTCTAGAAAGAAGAAGGGTATATAATATCAATATTATAAGGGTAATAATATAGAGAAGACACCTAAGAATACTATTGTATTTTTACTAGGGAAGTTTGGATAACTTTATATGCTGAATTTAAACATTTGTATCTTTCTCTCATTATTTCTCATTTACGAAACAAAAATTGTCAATAATACTCAAGTATTAATAGATATGAAAATGCTAGTAGTTATGGATTGTGAACTTCAGGAAACAAACAAAATAAAATGCTTCTCAGATATGTAAATTTATCCCAATATTGCTTGCTAATATTTGAAAATGCAGACATTAACACATGGTTATCATTCCTGGGCCACAAAAATGTATACTGGATTCAAATTCAGATAACTACATTTTATCTGATAAAGGAATTTCAGTGAGTTTAAACAATGTCTTTCAAAAACAAATGTTGAATGGATGCAGAAAGCACATGTTTGTTTAATTTGGTAAAGGAAGTCAAAGAGTGAATCATCTTTAGATTTCCTTTTCTATGTTCGATCAGAATATATTTAAATTAGAAAATAGCTAGGTACAAAATCAGTATAAAAGATTGACAAACTAGTTGTAAATATTATGGCTTAGCTCTAGGAACTATTACATATGCACTTAAGAATTTAGAATTTATAAATATCACTGACTTCTCGACTTTCTAAGAATTAAGGTACATACATAAAATGCCCAAACTTTAGTGTACAGTTTGATGAATTTTGACATTCATAAACTCTCACGTAACTATCATCCAGATCAAGATATCAAATATTCTCACTAATTTTTACCTATATCACTATTATTTTTAAATAAATCTTATTTATGAATTTTATTTTATTTTTAGAGCTCTAGAAACAGTTTTTCCTAATAAGAGAAGCTTTATTCTCACCCGGTCAACTTTTGCTGGATCTGGAAGGCATGCTGCACATTGGTTAGGAGACAACACTGCTTCGTGGGAACAAATGGAATGGTCTATCACAGGGATGCTGGAGTTTAGTTTGTTTGGAATGCCTATGGTAACTACTTTCATACAATGTGATTTATAAAAGCTGTGAATTACACTTAATTTTGTAATATCTAAAATCATTAAAGACATGTCAGAAATATTCCATCTTTATTCTTAGGAAAGTTAGAAGAAAAATAAGAATATGGATGATGTCTGTAACATTCAAGCCATTCAAGTAGGAAAATAGGATGACAAAATTTAATTAAATAAAAATAATTCACGAAGCGAATATCAACATAAACCAAGCAAAAGAAGTCTTATATAATAAAACAACTGATACGATGGTAGGGAAAAATCCAAATATATTGGTAATAAAAGTAAATGTCAAAAGTCTAAATATATTTGAAATACTAGGTTGTCAGTTGAGGCTAAAAAACAAAGGTATTTTCTCTATTTAAAAGGTAAAATATAATGATGGTGAAACTGAAAATTTTAAATCAGGGAAAATGTATACTAGGCAATTCCAAACATAGGAAATCTGGTAAGTCTCTGTTTATATCAAGCAAAAAAAGAAGTATGCACTGTTGATATTCAGCACTAAAAAGGACCACTACCAAACAAAAATAAATGTCAAATATAGGAAACAATAGTGATTCATTTATTCTTATCACGTGCACTGAACAAAATCAAAACCAAAAACCAACTAAATAAAAAAGCTAAAATACATATGCACACATACACACATACACACACACGTACACATGTCTTGAATTTGGAAATTAAAAAGAACATGATCAAGTGATTCATGAATTAATAATATAAACTGAATGGAAATGGTGGGAAGACCCCTTAGAACTGAATATTAACTTATGCTTCATATCAAAACTGTGGGGTATTAGTTAAATCAGCATTTAAAGGAAAACTTATAGGCTTAAATACCTAGATTAAAACCAAATGAACAAAGAAAGACTATTAATGAGTGAAATGAATGAAGGAAATGGAAAAGGGAAAAACAGGGTAAACCTAAAGAAAGATATAGATAATGTAAATAAGAAAAAAAAATTAATGTAATGAAAGTCAAGTCTCTAGAGAAAAATGAACAATGTACAAAGGTGACTGAAAATTTAAAGAAAGTAGACTAATTTATGGCAAGTTTTGCAAAAAAACAATGTTGCATTGTATTTTACAAGATATTATTTATTATAGCAACAAATTAATAAACAATAAATAAATATTGAAACTAATTGTAAGACTTTTTTGAGAACATTTTAAATAACTAAAGATATATCATTCATAGGGTAAGAAGGCTTAATATATTTGAAATAAGCATATTTCCTAAGCTTTTAACAAAATTGAGTGATATTCATTTATCTGAAGGGAATTTGGGGCACATAAAGATTATTCTAAACTTCATGTGAAACATATTATAATTTAAAGAAGTAGAAAAGACTGTAAGGATTTGCCCTGCCAGATAAAACAGTAATATAACACAATGATACTTGACTGTGGATGTTCAAATAGACTAATATGGTAAAATAAGACACAGGCCCCTGTACTAATGGAAATAATGTTAAATGATACCACTATCACTATAGATCAGTGAGAAAAATATCAAATATTCATATTGACAATTGATGGCCCACTTAAAAAAATAAGTAAAGTGAGCCTATGTCTCATACCATACACAAAAATCAATCCCAGATGGATTACATACCCATATGTGAAAGATAAACTTTAAACATTTTTGAAGAAAATATCAGTGGGTAACTTCATGACATTAAGTCAGTGGATAATTTCTTAAACAGAAAATAGGAGGCATAAATAAAGAAACATGTAAATTTGATTACAAAAAATGAAAACTGTCCATCAAAAGACTATATTAAAAGGCTAAAAATAAAAAGTTACTTATGTACTTGGAAATGATATTTCTAATTCATATAACCAATACATGGTTAATACTCAATTTAAAGTGCCTATTAAATCTGTAGAAGGTAAAAACAATAGAAAAATTAACCAAGAATATAAATAGGCAATTAATAGAATTAAAAACACTTTTAGATTCACTAAAAATATTAAGAAGCCTCAACTTCCCTGGTAAACAGAGAAATACAAGTAAAAATTTTGGTGAGATACATTTCGTATATAGGTGGTAAAAATGAAAAGTCTGAAAATGTCAGGAATTGTTAAGAAGGTGGAGCAATGAGAATTTTCCTCTTTTGTCACTATGCTTACAAATGGGTACAACCAATTTTGATCAGTGTAAGCTTCCAATAAACCTAAAAAATAATCAGTTGATACATAATAAAGAAGTGCTTATTAACAGTAAATACTAAATAAAGAACAGTAGTTTTTTACTGGAGGATCCTCAAAGGAAGAGGAATGCAATTTGATATGGGTACTTACCAGGCAATATTTTTTACTATTTTATTCCTACAGTAACATATTATAAATGGGAAAAATTAAATCCTAGAACATGACTTTTATATTCAGAACCAACACATTTTAATAATATAATTTTACCTTTTACATTGAATCAACAGTGATTAGATCAAAGGAGAAAATAAATACATAAGGCTAAGAAAATACATAGAGACAATGAAAGAGTGTAAAAACAATACAAATAAAGGTAAGTTTGTAGCAAAAATGGAAAATAAACTAGATTAAGGAAGAGTATATGAAGAGGGTAAACACAAAGTTTGTATGGCAAATTAATCAGTAGAGCCATAAAATGTGGAAATTTGAGAATCTTTACACTATAAATAATCGATGTATATTTTATTAGATTGGAGCAGATATCTGTGGATTTGTGGTTGAAACCACGGAAGAACTTTGCAGAAGATGGATGCAGCTTGGGGCATTTTATCCATTTTCCAGAAACCATAATGCAGAAGGATATCAGGTACTTGCCACTTGTTCTCTGTGTTTCAAAATAAAACTTTATCCTATTTTTAGTGATGTACTTAATTTTATATCTAATGAATATATGGCCTTAAAGTTCATAGCATAATTCATAAAGAAAAGAAGTCCTCTATTCAAGGCCTAAATATTTTATCTATAAGAAAGGGTCAAATAGAAAATCAGAATACAGTATAGTCAGAACATAAATTCTTTATTCAAGCCTAAAACATATGCAAGTGTGTTAAATCACAATCTTTTACATTAAAACCAAAACTTTATAAATCTGGATTTATTGCATTCTAACAGTGTAAGTTCAACGCAACTGTTCTTTCATAAAAAGTACACTATTAAGAATTTGTAGTTTTTGTTTCATTAAAGAAACAAGAAATTAAAAACACTTGTGAAGCATGTTGAAGTCAGAGTATTTTTTCTGTAAGTAAAACTGCAATGACAGGCTGGTAAAAAACAGAACTAATACTTTTTAAACATGCATCTGAACTTTTTAAACATGATGGTAACAGAAGTACATAGACATACTGAGCTATTTCACCAGCCCTGAGAATTCAATATGCTGCATGCTCTCATAGACATATTTTTCATAGGGAATGAAGGGATTAGGTGAAACCATTAAGCCAGTTAAGTAATTATTGATTAAGAAATTATTCACTGTTCATACATTGATACACATAGGGCATTAACTCTGTCTGAGAAGAGGGACTGACTCTGAGAGCTCAGTTTGGGAAGAGACATGATAGAGAAGTATAAGGCATCAAATGGAGATTAGTCACTTCCTAATCTACCTAAATGGTGCTTTCAAGAAATTTGTGTTCATGGGAGATTCTGATATGAATTACATTATACTCTGTTCATTTCTGTCCTCCAAAAAGCAGATGTCAAGACAGAATTAGACATTTTAGAGATAAAAATGAAGGAGCAGAAGAAAGTGGAGAGAGCCTTTGGATCACAATTCAGGTCTGATTCTAGTGAAGATGCAGACAAGGAAGGAGGCCAAAATAGTATTTCCCTCTATGCTCGTTGGTTAGCTGGAAACAGCCCCAGTGAAACATGGCTTCAGGGTAAACATGATGGTGAACCCAGGGAAGCAGTAGCTGGTACCCTCACTTTTGTTACCCATAGCAGGTCATCTAAGCAGCTTTGCTCACATCAGTGCACTTTGGCTGAGAGAGTCAGCTGATCTCTCTTGGGCTCAGCAGGAAGGGAGTCCTTCAAGTTATAAGCCTGCAAGCTGGCCAGGCAGCTGTATACCCTGTATCGTGGGCCAGAAGAAAACCTGGCCTCATTCTTCTGATGGCAGTGGCAAGGCACAGGCAGAAAGTCCTGAGGCAAGCACACTTCAAGCCCTTCCTTGAATGTGTCCCATGTACCAAGACTCCATTGGCCAGAGTATGTCACATAGTTAAGCACCAAGTCAAGTGATGAGTCAGTCCCTGTAGTGGTAGGGAGTGCAAAGTTATGGGCAAAGGTTATAGGCACAAGGGAACATGAAAATTGAAGCCAATAATTCAATCTACTACAAATAGCATAGGTGAAAAATTCTGTTAAAATGTTTTCTTAATTTCTCTTAATGTTTGTATGTAAATGGGAAATGTGTGCTTCAAAATAAAATTTAATTAAAACAAGAGTTGATGAGGATGTGGAAAAAAAGGGAAACGTCCTATAATGTTGGAAGTAATGTAAATTGGTTCAGCCACTGTGGAAACTAGTATGGAGGTTCATCAAAAAACTAAAAATTGAAATACCATACTACCCAGTAATTGTACTTCTAGGAATTTACCCAAATAAAATAAAACCCCAATTTGAAAAGATATAAGCACTCCTATGGTTACTGACACATTATTTACAATAGCCAAGATATGGGAGCAACCAAAGTGTCCATCAGTAGATGAATGGATAAAAAAGATGTGGTATATATACACAATGGAATATTATTCATCCATAAAAAGAAGGAAATTATTCCATATGTGATAACATGGATGGACCTAAAGGGTATTATGCTATTATGCTAAGTGAAGTAAGCCAGGCAGAGACAGACAAATGCCATAAGATTTCACTTATTTACTGGATCTAAAAACAAAAGTGAATAAAACAGCACTTGACTCAGAGACACTGAGAAGTGACTGGTGGATACCATGGGGGAGGGAGATGGGCTGGCTGGGTGGGAAGCATAAAGGGGATGAAGGTGCACAAAAATCTCAATCATATCGTAAATTGGTCATGTGCACATGAAGAACATAGCCAATGGTTCTGTAACATTTTTCTGTTTTGACATATAATAACAGAAATAGTTGGAATGAGGATTTAATAATGTAACTGTTGAACCACTGTGTTGTATGAAAACAATATAATACTGTGTATCAATTATACCTCCATTAAAAAAATCCAAAAAGAAACATAAAAACTAGAAATATTCATGTACTTTGATGATGAAATAGAAGTAATTTCAGCTTTTTATAAACAAGCTGAAATATATACAATTTGCTTTTCAAAAATAGATTAAATGCTTATGTTTTAATTTTTACTTGGATTTCAATGTATTTCAATTTCTTTTTTTATCACAAGCATCAGGATCCAGCATTTTTTGGACAGAATTCTCTTTTAGTTAATTCATCAAGGAACTATTTGAATATTCGCTATACCTTATTACCTCACCTCTATACTCTGTTTTATAAAGCCCATAAATTTGGAGAAACAGTAGTCAGGCCATTTCTTCATGAGTGAGTACTACATTCAATCATTTTAATATCTTTTGAATTATATTCAGATAAATATTGAAAAATTAATGACAGTAAATCCGGATGTCATGTTGATTTCTGCTGCTTGTTTTTATCTTTGCATAAATTATTTGATGAACTGTAAAATGATAATAAATATAATTAATTTGGTAAATTGGACAAGATTAAGCTAGTATTGTGAGAATTGAATGAACAGAATAGAAAGAGATATGTAGAATATATTAAGGAAATTATATCAGTAAGATTAAATGCAGAAGTGTTGAAGGCATATCATATATACATTACAAATATCATCCAAATATAGATCAAGAGTTACTGTAGCATAGAATTTATAAAAAAGCAATTCGTGCTTGTCTCTGTATATCTTGACCAAAGCAAGACCCTTTCAAATCCACATCAAAATGGGAATTTATAATGAAAACATTTAAAAAGAAGAAAGAATATGAAAGGCTTCTGGTACTTTATAAACCTGTTACAGAAGAAAATGAATTAAACAGCCTAGTTGTTAATTACAGATAATAAGCAACCTCATCATACATGATAGATCTTTTTGAGTTTCAGATGAAATAATTTCTTCCCTTCTTCCTACCTTTCTTTTGTCTTCTATTTCTTCTTTCCTTCCTTCTTTTCTTCTTCCTTGAGTGCCAAATGAACCAAAAGGATGTAAGAACTATAGATTAAAATGACACATCAAACAAACAAAATTAAAGCCAATATCATTCCCAGGGAAAAAATGAAAGCTAAACAAAACAAGGAATTTGGATAAACTTATTTATCTTTATATTGTAAACATTATCATTGTTCATAGGTTTTATGAGGATACAAATAGCTGGATTGAGGACACTCAGTTCTTATGGGGACCGTCATTACTTATTACCCCTGTCTTGAAACAGGTAAGTTTCACAATTTTAATAAATTTACTGCTTAAAGGGAACTTTGTATAGCCAAATCCACACTCAGTTACAAAACATCTACTCAGTAGACTGTTTTAACCTGATGTCTAATTGAATTCTAAAATGTACAAGAAACTTTTTAAATTATAAAAATAAAAATATAAATATATAATGTATAACTGAGGAAAGGGAAATTGTATAAAATTTGCCTTCCTCTGAAAAAGAAAGCCTTACTTAGGGACTCACAATCAAATCTTGTAGTAATAACAATGAACTCTCATTTAAGTAAACAAAGATAGCCACTGAAATTTTGCAAAATTGTAAATAAGGGAGAATTTGAAAACTGGCTGATCATATAATGATGTTGAAAAAATAGTGGAAGTGAGATATTTGTTTTTTTATCTTTTATATAAAAGTATCTTTCCATGAAAATATACAGAAATGAATTTGTACAATTCACAATTACCATGTAGATTGTAACAATACAAATGCAAGCATGCATTTTTTACTTGTGTTTTTTCTTACACAGCAATAATATAACTCCTTTTGGTCCCTCGTCCTGATTCCGGTGTGTGTGTTGCTTTTGGGATATTTTTACCTAATGATATTGTCTAAAACTAATAAAATATGCTTAATTATTATTTTTAGGAAATATTAGAGTATAATACTATGAAGACAGTTTTTTTCCCTTGACTATGAAAACTCAATATTTGATATGATACTCTTCTCTGAGGTATTGTAGTAAAAAAAAGTATATGTGTGTGTATATATATATATATATAAATTATCTTGCTTTATTTTAGGGAGCAAATACAGTGAGTGCATACATACCTAATGCTACTTGGTATGATTATGAAACTGTAAGTAACCTTAATATAATAATAGACTGATAAGTGTTAATATTGTCAAGTATCTATACATAGAAACTTAACTCCAAACACACAGCATATCTGTTTTCAGTATTTGTTATTATTATAAACAAATAATAATTCCAAATTGAATAATACATAAAATTTGTACAGGTTGTATATTTTATGTACATGAACAAGTATATGTTTTGTTGAACATAGTGTGAAATTATATCCTTTAAATATATATTACTCATACTTAAGTTGTGGAAATAAAAGTTTTTGTAATTTTACAAAGAGGTAATTATTTAATACTTTTCTTACTTTACATATTGATCTTATTGCCAGAAGAATCAAATATTGACCTAATTTTAAACGTTTTTTTTATGCAGTATATTTGGGAAAGATTTTCATTTCAACCTTGAAAAGTCAACATACCAAAATTCATAAACACAACCTGTTTTTAACTGACCCAGACCTTTTGAGACGTATTATTTTAAAAGGCATTATTTTATATATCTCTTGTATTTATTAAGCAGATCTTTTATTTTTATTTTTATAAGGATTTTATTAAAATCCTTAAAAGAATTTTATTATAGGACTTTATATCCTTTTAAATATTTTATTAAAACCCTTTCTAAAAACATGCTTAACATTCAACTAAAACAAAGAGTAAAACATAGAGCTAATTAAGAATATTATTAGTTATTGTAGCTGAAAATGGATTCTTTATATTGATTTTTTAATTTTTTAAAAGTTAATTTATTATTTTCCAACATTGTTCTGCAAACCAGAAAAAAGTTTTCTTTTAAAGTTAGAAAGCAACAGATTAGTATTATATCAGTGACATGAATTGCTCATAATAAAATTGTTTCTATGTGTAAATTTAAATTTTGTGAAATGACATTTAAAGTCTTTGCTAATAAACTTTCTTAACTTCCATATATTAGGGTGCAAAGAGGCCATGGAGAAAACAACGTGTTAATATGTATCTTCCAGGAGACAAAATAGGATTACATCTTAGAGGAGGTTATATTTTTCCCATTCAACAACCTGCTGTAACTACAACTGCAAGGTAAAATGAACAATCATTAACAGAAATCTGAAATATAATTCAATTTTTATTATTTCATATTTTTATAAGCATCAAAGATAAACATTCAGTTTTTTCACCAGAAGATATTGACATATGAGGGGAATTCTTAAATACAACCACCATGGTATAAAAAGAAGAATCAAATTATGCAATTATTAATTTTTTGATTAAAAAATGGACATAATTAGATTAGAAATATATTTCCTGTGCCAAAAATGTATTGACATTCTCTATAGATATTTATAATGTTAATTCTGATTCTTAATAAAAATATGAATTAAAGTAACATCCAATTGTTATTAAAGTAAGTTATACAATTGTTAAAAGTGTCAAGTTATTACATATTTGGATTTTCATTACACAAATTTCACAATATTTTTCTTTCTGCTAAAATTTTTAATGTTTAAGTTGATAAATGAGGCTGACATTTCTCTTTACGTAAATAACAATTTTGAAACTAAGTTGTTCTGTAAGAATAAATTCCAGATGTATTTAGGATAAAAGAAGAAACTTAAAAATCCTGGTACTCCATCTTACAACATTCTTTCTGGAGACAAGGCCACAGAAAATGTTATATTCAATCCACACTATTTCCCAATATTCTGCAACATCCTGACAGCCACTCTCTGTTTTTATCCTTCTGTATTTTCTTCATAATATTAAGAAGATCTGGGATTATATTACCTTTTCTTATATGTAGTGCGTCTACTTCCCTAGACTATAGACTCCATGAAAGCAGGGACTTGACTTTCACTGCTTTAATCCCAAAACCAGTAATAGTGCCTGACCCATAATAGGCTCTGTATTTTCTTTAAATATTTGTTGAGGAACAAATTAATGAATGAATTAACATGTGTTAGTAATTCTGTTACTTTGACATCTTCAAACCTATTGTTTTCATGCTATAGCTATTTTCATGACTCTGATCTCAAAAAAAAAGAATATACCCTAGAACTATACTGACCAAGAAAAGCATACACTTTGCCATATATTCTGTATAGAGCAGATACATAGACTGTATAGCCTCAAGGGTGTTATTTAAAATTTTAAAACCTATGGTAATATATAACTAAGAACATTTTTTATAAATTATATGTCTAATTTTTCATGATAGAATTAGCTCCATTTGTAAGATGATTAGAAATTCCACTAAGCATTTAAAAAATTACATTGTACTTTTCATTATTTTAAATATAAAATATAACCTTGATACATTGCAATTTAAGGTTAATTGTTATGTGACAAATACATGACATGCTGAATTGAGCATTAAAAGATATATTTAGTTTTTTTTCTTTGAATTGAAATATAAATATGGTTTCAATTTTGTTGATGTCTTAGCCTACAAGAAATTCTGTATTATATTTATTATGTTTATTCCTTTCATTTATTTTCTAAGTATATAAATTGTTTTTCTCACTGAAAAAAGTATTAAGTGTGGATATGAATTTTATTTCTGTCAGTTCTCTCATGTGAATGGATAACTGCAAATCCATTAGGTTGAAATGGACTTATTTACGGAATATTTCAATACTATAAATTTATTTTTAATTATATGCACACCCAAACTTACTTAACAGCCGAAAGAACCCTTTGGGACTTATAGTAACATTAGATGAAGATAACACAGCAAAAGGAGATCTTTTCTGGGACGATGGAGAAACTAAAGGTAAATGTCACAGTAATATGCTTTAAAATGCTCATTCTGATGATGGGAAATTTTGCTTTTATTGATAGAAAGCTGCATCCTTTTAAAACCTGTTGCTTTAACTTTTAATTCCTGTTTTTTATTTATATTAAGGTTTTAAGTTACTATATGAGATTTAACATTGTTATCTAAATTATATATATTTAAAATTTATAATATTTAGTTTTGTCTATTGGTTCATTGTTTTTTGACAACTGTAGATACCTTTATTAGATGATTATTTTTAATTAAAATAACTAATAAATTTCCAGATATTTTCAACATTCTTAATGATTTTAGTGGTTAAAACTAAAATTTATTACTATAAAAACTCCAACATTTAACGCTTTAGTTAATTAACATCAAATTATTAAGGTAAAAATGTTATCATAAAATGGTTCCAAGTTTATCTCAGTTATTGTTTTTTATTTTATTTCATGAGTCTCAAACATAAACTAAGTCAATTTTTGCTAATATCTAATTATGCCATAGTAAATGTATTTTTTTAGATTAAATTAGTAAATTACAACTGCTCTAATAAGTGTATGTTTTAATCCCATTTTTTTAATAGATGTCTTTTAGGTATGTTTTTTATATATATCTGTAGAAAAGGAATTATAGTTTAGCCTCTATCTTCGCTCATTACTTCTCAGTTGTATGAAAGAGTATCCACATACCTTTATATGCATATGAAACATCCAAATATCTCTAACTTAACTGAGAAATAGTTGATGTATTGGTGTGCTCTCTTATAATTTGAAAATATGAAATCAATAAAAAATGTTCCTGTTCTTTTTTGTCTTATAGTGAAAATATAGAGAACCACAATATATCTACATAACCTACAGGGGTCACCTTGTCATTTGATACTAATTTCATCTCTACAAAATACCAAAAACCTGAGCTGACTCTTCTTTCTCACAACCTATGCATTTCTCTTGGTTCTACCTTGATCTGGGTTCTCAGCAGTTCCACCTCTATCATCACTGTCTTTCATTTTAATTACTGCAATAGGTCCCCAACTGGTCTATAGGTCTATAGCTCTTGTCAGTCCCCTTTTACATTCTATGTACAATCCACAGGCAGAGTAACGCTTTAAAAGATAATTCAAATCATCACAGCTCAAAACCCTCTAATGATTCTCCATTTTATGCAGTTAAGTGTCACAGTTTTATACCAAAGACCTAGCGCACTTAAGTGATCTGTACTTTTGTACACACACACACACACACACACACACACGCACACACACACACACACACACATACACAGTCTTCCTCTATTGCTCTCTGTTTCTCATTGTACTCCAGAAAACCAGCATTCTTGCTCTTTCTCAAATACTTTCGAGTATAAGCACGATAAAGTGAGCTCTCCCAAAAAAATAGGTTCCAAGCATTTATTACCTAGAAGTTCTGTAAAGTGGATTCCAGTATAACTAAATTATTTGTAATAATCAATTCAACAATGTTGTTGAGATAACACTTCTATTGATAACATGTGGGATTTGATATTGTGATTCCTATTTTTCAACTTTTATAAATATTCCAAAATGCATTCATTTCTTTTGTAAAAATTTATATTGATAATTTATTTTCATATAAGAAGATGGTTGAGTATGGAAATATGATTTAATCTGTCATCAAATACGGTATCTATATAGTTATGTGCTTTGAAAAGACAAAGTCAGAATTTTCTAAATAATCAGTTTGTAATTAAACTTGGAAACAATAAAATGACCTTCAGTTCAGGTTTGATTCTAAATTTATTTCCTAGGATTAAAACTATAAGTAAATTAATGTTATTGAAAGAATTATATATAAATCTTAAGATTCTTTTTCTTTTTTTTATGTGTCTTCCAAATTAGTCATAATCTTCAGTTTCTCTGTTAAAGAAACTGGCTGATGAATTTATTATATATATAGTATAGAAAACAGTTTTCCTCATTAAAGTTTTTTCTTCCATTTTCTTCATTAAAGTTTATTTCAGTCTTTAATATGTCTCCAGATTCACTTTCTTCAAATAATGAAAAAAAATTAAAAGATGCAAAATAAAATGGTGTACCATGTTTTCTCAAGATAAATTGAATATGAATGGCTTACTAGAAAGGCAAAATATCATTCAAAATAAAAATTCACAATTATGTAAATTTTACTGTAAGTTTTGCTTTCTCTGAATTTTCAGAAATACTTTGACAGTCTTTGAAAAATCAAAGTAAATATGCATTCATTACCTTTACTTACTGCGAAAATAAACTACTTCTTTTGTTTAAATGCAATTAAGTCTTAATTTACAAGAATGATTTGTTTTATTTCCTTCATTAATAAACAGTATCTAATTTTATCAAGTATCTTAAGTATTGTTTGGTTATAAAATTAGAACAGAGAATTTAACGTTACATTTTGATCTCATAACTTTTTTTCATTTCAGATACCATAGAAAAAGGCATCTACATTTTTTATGAATTTTCAGTTTCTAATGTAAGCAATCTCCTTGGATGCACAGTTAAATATATACCATATTATTGTCTGAGTTATGCCTTTATTATAGATTTTTTTAAAAATGTTTACATTTACCTCCAGACTTCAATGGAATAAATTGATAAATATGTTGTTAAATTTAAATTGTTAAGTTATAAATACATTGTTATCTGAAATTATTATATTTAAATGTAATAGGTATGCTTGTGATGAAATTGAAGCACTGAAATCTTCACACTTCTTAAAGCACTACATTTGGTTTAAGCAATTTGGCTAAGAAAATAATTCAACAAATTGAAAATGTTTTAATATATCAGTCACAGAAATAAATGTCATGTATTTTGAGTGAAGATGAAAAATCTAAGCAGAAGGTTAGATTTTGAATAATTAAGAGCAATGCTTTTTGTAGAAGCTGGATTTCTTAATATTTTCTTTTTTGCCAAAGAAAGCTAAATTATTCTTCATCAGTGTTAGAGCTAGAATAAGAAGGGATACACATGAATTGCATCATCAGTAGTTTAGGTTATCTCTGGAAATCAATTTTATGTCATGTATAAAAAAATTGAAAAGACATGTTTAGATACATATACATATAATTTTTTATTTTATATTTTATTAATTTTTAATTTATATGTAAAATGAGTATATTTGTATATGCTACTTGGATGTGGAGAGCTGGTGGGAATGGAGGAATAGCTGTTGGTTGTTTTCTTATTTCACATCTTTATTATTATTTCAGGTTTGTTCCAATGACCTTTTTAATATATAGTATTATAATCTTCTTTTCAGAACAAATTAAATATTACATGCACACATTCATCATACCAAGAGGGAACCACCTTAGCATTTGAGACTATTAAAATCCTTGGGTTGACAGACACTGTTACAGAAGTTAAAGTGATGGAAGCTAATCAGCCAATGAATGCTCACTATAATTTTACTTATAGTGCTTCTGACCAGGTGAATACAACTCTTAAAATTTTTAGCTGTTATATACTCTCACTTTTAACATATATAACTTTCCATGCTCTTGGTTTTGTGATTTGTTTTCTTCATGACATAGCTTTTTTTGCTTTTTTGTTTTCCTGACAATATTCTATCTTAGGTTATTCCAATTTATATTTAGATAACAACATTGGGTGCTCCTTGCTACTTCTCCCTCTCCGTTTCATTTTACCTTGGATATCTCTTATTTATGTCTTCTTAATATTTTTTCATATCATTTTCCTACCCTGAGCTCTAACTGACTCACCTGTTGCATACAATAAAAATTCTAAGTGTGTTAGCTTCTCATTTAGACTCTTTAAGATATTGACTTAATCAATTTCTTCATTTTCCCTGCTTATTCTTTCATGCCCTCTCATTGTCCTCAATATATCATGTACTTGTTCTCTCCAAATTTTTGTTTACCCTCTTCTCTTCTAATATGAGCACTTTCTTATCCTGTAATTTTGTCTCTTTTAAAAGGTATACTAGAGAGTGAAAAGAAGTAACAGAATTGGGCTTGAATTCCGGCCCTGCAGTCTGTACATTTCAACAGACAAATTAATCTCTTAGCTTCCTCATTTGTAAAATATATTTAAATCATTATGCTGCTTTGGGTAATAAAGTATTTAAAAATGTTAGACAATAATTTAAAACTTGAAAGTGGTTTTTATTGGCATTTATTTTTCCACCACTCATCTAATACTAAATTATTGGTAATATCAACATAAATACATTCTAAGTTATTTGAGACATAGAACATTTTCTTAGAGTGTTTTTGTCTAACTCCTGAGCCTCTGACCCAGAGCTTTTCACTGAGCAATTTTCATAAAAATGTATATCGGTTAACTTTTTTTAGTAAATATAATTTATATATTCCTGGAAATTAATCAATATAAACAATTATCAATATGATTAATAAATATAAGAATTAGTATAAATTAAGTAATGAGTTATTGAGACCTTTATGATTCCTACAAAGATTACCAAGAGGGCATAATACAAAAATAATTTTATTTGGCTTATGCAATCTCAATTTATATCTGTTTCTATATTTATGCTTATGTAAAGATTTACACAGACACTAAAAGATACACCTTCCTAATTTTTCTGTCCTTTGACAAGTTTAATGAGTTTTCATTCCTGAATGTTGAAATGTAGAGTGATGAAAGGAAGTTAGTGTCAAAAGAAAGTCAGCTATGTAGATGAAAATCTGGAATAAATTTTGCCCATGTTATTCCCTACATATATAAACAATAACCAAACCAAGCATATCTTAGCAATATCTCAATAATAGAAATAATTGTGTATTAGAATATATATGCAGGTATGTGTGTTCTGTGGACATACAAACACACATATGCATATATATGTGTGTAAATATAAAAAATATTTCTCTTTTTTGCATAATGGCATATTATTTCCCTTCTAACTTATTCCTCAAAAATGTAAGCAATGGATAAAATCAGGGACAGACTTAAAGTAATCCATACCTCTTCACTGACTTTGTGGCCTCCATATCAGCCAAGGTGGTCAACATTTTCTTCCTTGAGGGAACACTTATTTCATATCTAGTATTCCCTAGTCATTGTTTTAGGTGCTTTAAATTTCAATATTATTTATTTTGTAAACCCCTTTAAGAGTAGGAGTCATTATCCCCATTTTACAAGAGGAGGAAATTGAGGGCAATACAGGATACACAATTTTCCCAAAGACTCATGAGCATTAAATGGGAGAACTGAGAACTGGACTCATGTCTGTATTTAAAGATGTCTTTAAGAGTTAGACAAAAACACTCTAAGAAAATGTTCTATGTCTCAAATAACTTAGAATGTATTTATGTTGATATTACCAATAATTTAGTATTAGATGAGTGGTGGAAAAATAAAGAATCAGTATTCTACAATTTCTCATTGTTTTCCTGTCTTGAGGTTCTAGCTATTTCAGTGAAATTATATGTTTTCTCCTTTCTGTTTTGTCCTTTAGGTATGATATTAAAATTATTAATGATTTGATTTTAATAATTTATGTGGTTGCTGCATTTTATAAATGTTAACTATTTTTAAATTATGCAATGGTCAGAGATATTCTTTAATGTTTTCTTTGTTTCAAAGATTCTCCTAATTTACAATCTCAAGTTTAACCTTGGAAGAAACTTTACAGTTCAATGGAATCAAAATTTCTCAGAAAATGAAAGGTTTTCTTGTCATCTAGATGCAGACACTCCAAATAAAGACATGTGTGAACAACGTGGCTGTTTATGGCAAACGGTAATAAGGATTTTAATTATGGTTCATGAGGCTTTCATTTGAGCATTTCAAAGTAAGCTTTACATATAATTTCATACAGCATACGAACTAAATTCATCTAGAGAAACATTTGGAGTTTGAAATTAGTACCTCCAGTAGAGAATTTTATCTTTATCTTGATAATTAGCCAGAGACATTGCTTCATAAATGCTAGACTAAATGGATGTGTGATTTGCTTCCCAGCCACTTTGGATAGTATGATAGTATAACTTTTATTTAATAAAATAGTGCTCTATTTGTTGAACTCTATTACGTGTTGGTTATGGATGAATAGCTTAATTGAACAAGAAATTATGCCTGTAGGGGACAGTCTTTCAAAAGCACTATCTCAAGTTATTAAAACTTGTGAAATTGGTGGGCTATGTCTGTCCCACTGAGGGGTGAGAATTTCCAGCCAGTCATTTTAGGCATCCTTTTAACAGAATGATAGTGGCTATTAATGGCAGACATTATTACAGGAAGGGATATGGTAAGGATTCCCTCCTACTATGTTTATTTTTTAAATTCTTAGTTTTTGGTTACATCATTGCATTTTGTCAGAAAAAAAGTATTCATTTCATATAAGCAGAAAATTAAATGCATGTGTTATACCACTGAAGATAGTCAAGACACATCTGCCAGTAACTTCCAAGATGTCTGTGTTTTTATGAGGAAATACAGAGAACCTCTGCTACCAAAGAAAAGATTTTATTTAAAACATACCTTATTTCAAAGAAAATTTCAGAATGATGCCAAACAATTAAGTATATATATCAATATAAAAAAAATATTGTAATACAAAAGCATGAACAGAAAGTTGATAGAATTGAGAAAATTTTAGTAGGCAAAATGTATGCATTAGGAGTTCATTAGTCAGAGTTTAGCCAACAAAGCAGATGGCATTATAGGAATTAGACTTTCCCCCAAAGTGTGGAAAGCCAGGAAAGTTAAACCCTGAATGAGGATTCTGAGAATCATAGTAGTTGTTAAGTCACTTATCAGTTCATCGGAAGCACTGGTGTGAGGTAACAGTTTGAAGTGTTGATATCCTCCAGTGGAGACCAGCAGGACCATATCTGTAGTTGAGTTTATTACTCATTGAACACCACGGGGATGTTTCAGTAAGTGTGCTTAAAAGGAATTACTGTAAGCTTGGGTTTGTGTTAGGTGATTTGGGGCAGTTTATGCAAGCAGGTCTTTACTCCGGAAACATGGATGATTCAATGATTTGGTATCTTGAAAAATCTTATCTAACAGAGTGAGGACTAGTCAAATGCTGAAACTATAATTGGCAAAACAGCAGCAGCCACTCATATTAGCCAAGATTAGGGATGTGCAGTTATTTTTGTGGTTACTACAGTGTTCTGTTTTATATTATGTTCAGACATAATTACAGAGTGTTGTGTTTTTTTGTTTTGATCCATCAAGTCACAGCTGGACCTTGTCCATTGTTGACATCAGTGAACTTATTTATGTTGAACAGAAGAAAACCAAGACCTCATTGTGAGCACTAGGCCGAATTCCAGGTGTCAAACACGTTTCTCTTTCTCCATAGCTTGCAGAGAGATCCAAAGTGTGACCATGAAGGGTCACACTGTATTCCCCAATTTTGCTTGATAAAGCAACACAATCTTTACCCTTAAGAATATAGAGGAATTAAAAGAAGTGAGGAAAAGAAAAGATTCTGAAATCAAAGTCTAATAACAAAATATTTTCCCATGTCCCCAGTACCTTCTCTTTAAATTGCAGCTCTTCTTCAACCCATACCCATTTCCCATTGCACCTAGTGAATACTCACTTACTTTCATATAAAAATGAATGTAAAGGATGAGTACTAAGGCACAAATAACTGCTAATAGGAATATGTAAAAATTTTACTTTTCCCAGGATTATTAGTATTTTAACACCTTACAGATTTTTATGTTGAGTAAGTGAAGCTTTAACATTAGAATGTCAGGCATAAGAAGACCATTAAATATGATAATTTAGGATACAGATAACTTCCATACTATTTATTCATTGACTTATTTAACAAAGACTTACTGAGACCTATTATGTTCTAGGCACTGTTCTTGGTGAACAAAATAAAGAAAACTCTCTTCCCTGATAGAACTTATAGTCTAGTGTCAGAAAATAAACAAATAACTAAAAAATTATGTGTTGTGTTAGATAAGTACTGTGGAGAAAAATAAAGTAGGAAAGGAGAAGGGGGTGAAGAATGATGATGGTATAATTTTAATGATTGGACACGGGAAGTTTCTTTGAGAAGGTGACATTTCTCAACAGAGATGAAAGAAAGAAAGAAAGGAAGGAAGGAAGGGAATAATATTTCAGAAAGCCTCAACCTAAAGTGCATCTGAAGCAAGAATGTACCTGGTATGTCCACAGACAGCCAGGAGACCATTTTTTCTGAAACAGAATGAGTGAGGGAAATAGCAGCAGGATCTGATACAGACATGTGGAAGCAGATACTGTGGACCAATCACTTAGTCTACTTTTAGGATTATAATTTTTACTCTGAGATACCTAGCTACTGGATAGTCTTGAATGGACAAAGAAGAGGATTAAACTTTCATCTCAATGAACTTCCACCTTATTAGTTTCTGTGTTGAGAATAGACCATTAGAGGACCAAGACACCCAGACCAGGAGATAAACTGTTTCAGTAATAGAGGTAAAATATCACTGGTGTTTTGAGCCAGAGTGGTCATTGTAGAATTAATAACAAGTAGTGACTGATATTTGTGCATATATTTAAGGTTTTATAAATTGAGAGTTAATTGACATAAAACAATATATTGGTTTCAGTTGTACAACCAAAATGATTCAATATTTGTGTACACTGTGGAATGATCATTTGATGTGTATACACACACATATACATATGAACACTATATATATATTAAGATATAACATTTAGAGTCAGCATATATATGGTATATAAAGACAGGTGATGGGATGACATCAAGAAATAGACCTTGGATAGAAAATTAAGAGTTCTAAATCTAAATCCTGAGCCATTCCAAAATTTAGAGTCAGGGAAAAGATGAGGAACCAGAAAACAGACTGAGAAAGAATGCAAAGAATTAGATTAAAAACAAAGAAAATGTTGGTTCTTTGAGGCCGAGAGAATAAAGCATCTTAAGCTGGAGAAAATAATCAACTGTGCAAATTAGGCTTATAAATCAGCAAGGTAAGAATTGGAAACTGACGTTTGGGTTTGATAGCAATGAAGTCTTTAGTAACTTTTATAAAAGAAGTTTTGATGGAGTTCTGGGAGAAAAACCTATTTAGAGTGAGAATGAAAATTCATGTGAGAATAAAGGGATAAATTTGGTATAGTTTTCTGAACTCTTTACGTTTTGCTCTAGAAAAAGTATAAAAAAACAGGGCAGTAATCAGAGAAATTAGTCATGTGAAAGTTTCTTTTTTAAAAAGAATAAATAAAATTGAGAATAATCTATAATAAGTGCAGTGTTATGATGCAGGAGAAAGTTGAGAAATGCAAGAGAAATGTCTTTGTAGACAAGGAGGCATGGAATTGGGTGCCCAAATGAAATTGTTCACCTTAGATAGAAATAGAAGCACAAGCAGTATAAATCTTATGATAAGAGGTTAAGAGGTGATGGGTAGAAGTGGTGTTTCTGTCTTATGTTTGTTGTGATTGATTTTCTTCTTATATCTAAACATCAAGGAAAACCATTAGGTGATGACAATAATTGGGAAGGATTTGTTGGTGGTCAGAGAAGGAAGGAAAATATCAGCCAGAGCAGTGTGATAGTGAGTAAACTAGGGAAATATAGTATGGTTGTATCACTAAGACCCCCTCTAACTTACATGATTATATAAAGGGAGAGAAGTCTGCATGATTATGTATATTTCTCAAACCACATTCAAACACAGCTCCAGGCACTGAGAATATAGAGTTTTTTTTTTTCTTCTTATAATTGTTGTTTTGCAACTAACTTCAGGAATGCAAATAAGGGGGCACCAGGATTGAAATTATGTGAACAGGAATGACTTAGTAAAGAAATATGCTTTTTGAGGAAGGAAGTGAAGACATCAAGTAGTGAGGGACAAATAATGGTAGGATTGTATGCTCAGTCTGGTTGTGGTCACTCTGCATGAACTCTTAATTTGCTTAACTTAATAGGAAATTAAACATTAAAGGAAAAAAGTTAGCCTTTATTAAGACAATATAAAAAAGAATTCTTGATACATCCTAAATCACTGATGATTTAAGAAAAAAAATTTATCTAGAACTTCTAAGTACCTCTCTGATTCTACAAAATCACCTGTTTTCATCTTATTTTACATTTGTATGAAGCTGACATTAGATCATATTAACCCTGAGAGTCATGTTGCTCTTATGTCATCTGAAAACCTCAGATTTAAAAATCTCAGAAGTAATGCTCCAAGTAACTTCCTTACTTCTAAAACATAGATGTGTGGAAAAGGGCAGGTTTTAATATAAAAAAAAAACCCATCCAAACAAACAATTTACAAAAAAACTACAAAAAGATACATTTTACACATAATCTATTAAATATTACTTGGGTAAACCAACATTTTAAATAATGATCTGTTGAATCCCTAGCCTAGGTCCTTTTTAGAGTTTGTATAAATTGAGTAGTAAGATTATATCCATTTTAACTACAAAAATAGCAATGCTGATGAACCTTTAATAAAAAAGATAAACAAGAACACTTACAGAAAGATAAAGGGGAAGTGATACTGGGCAGAAAGTTAGCTAAGAGGGAGATGTATACAGACTTCAGTTTTTTAAAGTCAAGCATAAACCTGATTCTGTTGGGACTCAATTTCATGCATTTAGAAGGAGTACTGTAGTAATCCTATCAGTTAAGGATTGCTTGAAGCTGAGAGTATCAGAGACCTAACAATCTGATTTGGTTAAACAGGATTTACTTTTCTCTTACAAAAACCAAATAGGATTTTACTTTTCTCTAATATATTGACTCAATTTGCAAATGCAAACATACTCATGCTATTTTCTGAGTTGGAAAGTTATGACATTTTATCTTTCTGCTCTACTGGTATATTTTTGAGTCAAAATAGAAATATTCTGCATTAACATTTTAGTATATGGTGTCTCAGGTTGCATAATAGATACTTTGTGCCATGATTACAATTTAATTAGTATTTGGCAATAAAATTTGTAAATCGTGTGATGAAACATGTCTACCTCATTTTTTTTGACTCAAATATTACAGTGCTTACAGTTTCTGACAATGAACATGTACTGGTTTTTAGAAATCTTTTGGATCCCAAGCACCTGAGTGTTACTTTCCTAGACAACACAACTCTTACTCAGTTACATCAAGTCAATATTCATCAATGGGTATAACAGCTGACCTCCACCTGAGTACTGCAAATGCTCGAATAAAGCTACCTTCTGAACCCATCTCAACTCTTCGTGTGGAGGTGAAATATCACAAAAATGATATGCTTCAGTTTAAGGTATGTTAGTCATAAACTATCCCAATGGATAACTCATCTGTCAAGAGATTTTTAAAAGATTAGTTTCTTGAATTTTTAATGTAATTTAACAATTAGTAATTGGATTGATGACATTTTGATTCTATAAAAATATTTTTCCCTACACAGTTCATAGGATAGGTGCACAATATTCTGATTTTTGCTGAAATTTTGAATAATAATATAGTGGTGATTTTAAAAATATTTGAATTCTTTTTAAATAAGTAAGTTATTTAGATTTGGACAATACTGGTAGTCCCATTAAAACAAACAAATGGAAAAAATAAAACAGAACTCTTACTATTTCTGTTATTTTTAAAAAGTGATCTTAATTTTCTTACTACTATAATAAGACATACAAAGTAACAGTTTCTCTCAACAGTTACATTTAGCAGTTTCTTTTTACTTGAGAGCTACAAGAGAATCCATTAAGCAAACTTCTAGAAATGATAAAAAAAGATCAGCAAAATAACTGGATATAAAATATCTCAAAAACTGTTTCCTATATGCTGTCATTCACTGTTTAGAAGCTGAAGTTGAGGCAAATCCTATTAGCAAAATCAAATGAGAAGTACAATCAAATAAACAAAAGTATTAAAAATCATAGGGATAAGTTGACTATCTTTAAGAAAAACTGTTATAAAGCAATGGTAGGCATTAAAAAGAACTAAAATATCTAAATAAAACTAAGTTTTTAAAAATATTAACACATTTTAGATCAATTGATGAGTTTTATTTATTTAGTTTACTTTTTAATTAAGGTATCATTGATATACAGTCTTATACTCAGGTTTGACATAAGCAGCATTGTAGTTACTACATTCCCCCCTATTACCACATCACCACTACATACCCCATTTCAGTCACTGTCCATCGGTGCAATAAGATCCTTTACAGTCAATACTTGTCTTTGTACTATACTTTCTTCCCCGTGCCGCCCTATATTATTTGCACTAATCATAATGCTCCATAATCCCCTTATCCCTCCCTTCTCATCCACTCTCCCCAACCCCTTTCCCTTTGGTAACTGTTAATCCATTCTTGGGTTCTGTGAGTCTGCTGCTGTTTTCTTCCTTCAATTTTTGCTTTGTTGTTATACTCCACAGATGACTGAAATCATTTGGTACTTGTATTTCTCCACCTGGCTTATTTCACTGAACATAAAACCCTCTAGCTCCATCCATGTTGTTGCAATTGGTAGGATTTGTTTTCTTCTTATGGCTGAATAATATTCCATTGTGTATATGTACCACTCTTCTTTATCATTCATCTACTGGTGGACACTTAGGTTGCTTGTATTTCTTGGCTATTATAAATAGTGCTGTGATAAACATAGGGATGCATATATCTTTTTGAATCTGTTATCCTGTTTTCTAAATGTAAATTCTCAGGAGTGGAATTCCTGGATCAACTGGTATTTCTATTTTTAATTTTTTGAGGGACCTCCATACGGCTTTCCACAATGGTTGAACTAATTTACATTCCCACCAGCAGTGTAAGAGGGTTCCCCTTTCTCCACATCCTCGCCAGCATTTGTTGTTGCTTGTTTTATGGATGTTGGCCATCCTAACTGGTGTGACGTGATATCTCATTGTGGTTTTAATTTGCATTTCTCTCATGATTAGCTATGTGGAGCACCTTTTAATGTACCTGTTGGCTAACTGAAATTTCTTCTTTGAAGAAGTATCTGTTCAGATCCTCTGCCCATTCTTTTATCAGGTTATTTGTTTTTTGGTTATTGAGGTATGTAAGTTCTTTATATATTTTGAATGTCAACCCCTTATCAGATATGTCATTTGTGAATATATTCTCCCATACTGTAGGATGATTTTTTGTTCTACTGATAGTGTCCTTTGCTGTACAGAAGAAGCTTTTTAATTTGATATAGTACCACTTTTTCATTTTTGCTGTTATTTCCCTTGCCTGAGGAGACATGTTCATGAAAAATTTGCTCATGTTTACATTCAAGAGAGTTTTGCCTACATTTTCTTTTAAGAGTTTTATGCTTTCATGACTTACATTCAGGTCTTCGATCCATTTGGAGTTTACTTTTGTGTAAGGAGTTAGACAGTAATCCAATTTCATTCTCTTGCGTGTAGCTGTCCAGTGTTACCAACACCAGCTGTTGAAGCAGCTGTCATTTCCCCATTGTATAACCATTGCTACTTTATCATATACTAATAGGCCATATATATGTGGGTTTATATCTGGGCTCTCTAGTCTGTTCCATTGATCTATGGATCTGTTCTTATGCCAGTACCAAATTGTCTTGATTACTGTGGCTTTGTAGTAGAGCTTGAAGTCGGGGAGCGAGATCCCCCCCCACTTTATTCTTCCTTCTCAGGACTGCTTTGGCTATTCAGGGTCTTTGGTGGTTCCAAATGAATTTTACTACTGTTTGTTCTATTTTATTGAAGAATGTTGTTGTTGTGATAGGGATTACATTTAATCTGTAGATTGCTTTAAGAAGGATGGCCATTTTGACAATATTAATTCTTCCTACCCAAGAGCATTGGATGAATTTCCATTTATTAGTGTCCTCTGTAATTTCTCTCAAGAATTTCTTTTAGTTTTCAGGGTATAGGTCTTTCACTTTCTTTGTTAGGTTTATTCCTAGAATGGAATTGTTTTCCTGATTTTTCTTTCTGCTGGTTCATCGTTAGTGTCTAGGAATGCAACAGATTTCTGTGTATTAATTTTGTATCCTGCAACTTTGCTGAACTCAGATATTAGATCTAGGAGTTTTGGAGTGGATTCTTTAGGATTTTTATGTACAATATCATGTCATCTGCAAACAGTGACAGTTTAACTTTTTCCTTACCAGTCTGAATACCTTTTATTTCTTTGTGTTTGATTGTCATGGCTAGGACCTCCTGTACTATGTTGAATAAAAGTGGGGAGAGTGGGCATCCTTGTCTTGTTTCCGATCTTAGAGGAAATGCTTTCAGCTTGTCACTGTTAAGTATGATGTTGGCTGTGGGTTTGACATGTATGACTTTTATTATGTTGAGGTACTTGCCCTCTATACCTTTTTGCTGGTACAGAATGGGTGTTGAATTTTGTCAAATGCTTTTTTTTAGCATCTATGGAGGTGATCATATGATTTTTGTCCTTTTTATTGATGTAGTGGATGATGTTCATGGATTTTCAAATGTTGGTCAATATATGTTTTTAAAGTATTTCCATGGAAATTTTAATAGAATAACTTTTGAGACTTTAAACTCATCTGGAAAAATAAACACATGACAATGGTAATTGTTAAAAATGTAAAAAAAATAATAAAAATTATAGAATTAAGTTTAAAATTTCATAATCATTTATAAAATTAGAACTGTGGAACTACAGGTAATATTACTTGAAAGTTTACTGAATAGAGATGGCATAAATAAGTGTATATAATTATATGTATATATATCTTTCTATACAGATATGTGTTGAAAGATATATATGTGCATATGTTTGTGTGTGTGTATATATATATATAAAGATATATGTATGAATCTGTATAAAAACAATAAACAAATATAAGACCAGAAAATATATATATATATAGCTCCATATTTATTTTGTACCTGGCTAGTAAAGGCCTTTCAAACCACAGACCCAAAGGCATAAATTCCATAATAAAAATTTAACATATTTCAACATCAGCAAACACTATAAAAAATTAGCAAGCAAAAAATGGGTAAATGTCTAACACATACATGAGAAATGGAAGCAATTTCAACTCATAAAATCATGAAAAATTTTAAGGACTAATAAGCAAACATTTCACAGAAGAAATAAAAATTGGAATAAAAATATTAAAATATATACATTCATTAAAAAGCAAAGGATGAAAAGACTAATTCAAGAATGAGAACCTAAATATTGAATACTCATGTAGGAAAAGACTAATCCTCATCACCAAGGAAATAAATGATAATTTAAAAATAAATGCTTTTAGTTTAACTTAAGTTAGAGTACACATTCTGTTGAGAATATTAATTAGTACACTAATTTGGAAAACAGTTTACAAATAGACATCAAGGACCCTACAAATGTTAGTACACTCTAAACTAATACTACCACTTCTAGGAAATACTCTGAGGAAATAAAGACATGAAAAAACAAATCAGCATTAAGATTCATTGTAAAATCATATATATGACAAAAAATATTGAACAACTTCTTTATCTAACCATGAGGTGGTAAATAACTTTTTATTTCCATATAAGAGAGTATTTAGACCTAAACGTTTTATTTTTAAAGTTTTCTCATTGTATGGATGACTGAATTACAAAGCATTTAAAAAACATAAAACACAGAATTTCATCCCATTTGATATAGTACCATCATATGCATGTATAAGGATTTTTCATGTAGATATATGAGCTAAGGATACAGAATTCAGAATCACTTAAGTAAGAATTTTAAATAGTCTTGTTTGAACTATAAATTAGTTAATGATATTTATATATATTAGAAATAAGAACAAAATATATCTATTTTCATTATTTCTCGGCAAAAGATTTATGATCCCCAAAATAAGAGATATGAAGTTCCAGTTCCATTAAACATTCCAACTATGCCAGCAAGTACTTATGAAAATAGACTTTATGATGTTGAAATCAAGGAAAATCCTTTTGGCATCCAGATTCGAAGGAGAAGCACAGGAAGAGTTATGTAAGTGACTGATTTATTTGATATGAAGGATATTTTTATTTTCATTTAGAAGGGGTAAGGTAAGATGATTGTTTTCACAGCCTTCACTGTGCTAGAGTATCATTCATCACATAAAAATTGGTTAGTCTTATTAAATAACTTGGCCTGTTTTAACATTTTTAAACCAAACAATTAGCACAACCATGGGACTATCATTAGCAATTAACTCTAAAATTTCATTTACACTTTAGATGTGATTGGTTTCATTATTAAATGTCATACTCATTCTTCTAATCAAGTTGAGAATAAGAATCAAGATTCCTCTTGAGAAACATAATGAGTGTTGGCAAAATAAGTAATCTGAACTGTTACATAAATATTTTATTAAAACTATTGAAATTGGAGATTATTGGTTCTGAAATATGATAAAGTTAATACTTTCTCTGCCTAGTTCTGATGAAAGGAAATTAAGATATGTACATCTAAATATATTTTTGTTACAATGAATAAATTTCAAAAATTGTTAGCTTTATTTTAGTTAAAAGCTCTGCACACTCTATTCCTATATATGATATATGAAAAGGTAACATTTTATGCAATTAAATTTGCCATAGTATCCTCTAGAAAACGTTAAGCCATTTTTAGGTTGGGTCACGATGGATACAAATAATGAAGAAAAATATGTATTGTCTTTAAACTTTTGTTGTTATGGCAATACTTTTTTCCAAAAGGATAAAAAACTCAGTCATTTTGTAAAGAAAACCTGCTGCAAAGATATTTTTTTGTTGTTGTTACTTGGAAAGCATTATTCATTATATTAATGTTACTTAATATGTTCCAAATTCTTTGTAATAATTATGTTTCCTTTCCCCAACTTTAATTACTTTTCCTCCTATTTGTTCTTCTTGGAAATAACTAGAAAAACAGTGCAATCTCTGTAACACACTTTTTCTGGATTTCCTTGTAAACACTAAATTTTATAAATAAAAAATAAAAAAAGAAGGAAAGTATTAAGAGTAGTAAAGAGAGTTTGAAGTTAAAATAACCATTATGCCTTATAGTTCTTTTGAATATTGATTTCTTTTTATTCTACATGTAGAAAAAATTCACTGTGATTATCTCAAGGGGACAGAAAAATGGAGGACTTTGCATTTCTAGGACATATATTACTTCTAGGCCATATATTATTTATAACTTCATAGTAGTTTTATTTTAAAAAGCATTATTTTTCCAAAACTTAAATATATAATCGAGTATGATTCAGTGTTAATAATAGTGAATGTATTAAACATATTTCAGACATTTCTTAGCCAAATGAAAAATATCTTGGAACAATTATCTGTTTCTATTTAGTATCTGGGTACAAAAAGGTGTATAGAGAAAAACATTGATTTTCAGATCACCTAAGAAAGAATTACCATTATTCTTTTTGACACTACATTGTATGTATTTACAGTAATATAATTGTTTTCTTTTTTCAGTTGGGATTCTCACCTACCTGGATTTACTTTTAATGACCAGTTCATTCAAATATCTACTCGCCTGCCATCAGAATATATTTATGGTTTTGGGGAAGTGGAACATAAAACATTTAAGCAAGATCTGAATTGGCATACTTGGGGAATGTTCACAAAAGACCAACCCCCTGGTGTAGGTACCAATATTTAACTACCCATGAAGCAACTAAGACCATGACTAGGATGCAGGCCTTTTCTTTGTAGGCTTGTACTTCGGTAATGAAATAATGACAAAGGGGCAAGGGACCCTCAAGAGCTGTTACAATGATTTTCTGAAAAACAAACAAAATAGTCACCATAAATTACAGGAGAAATTAAAAAATTTGATGGATGACATCACTGACTACAGTGAGAAGTGAGGTTGTGATCCAATTTCTTATCCTGTCAATTGCACAGAAAGAATGTTGAGATTTAGTTTTCCCTGCCAAGTCCACATTTACTCTCAGCTTTTACAAAATAGCTGACTAGGGTTCTCCTTGAAATTTTTTTCTACTTTTTAAATAATGATTTGATGCTAACCACTTTTTAATGTTAGGTGTTCAAACAACTTTTATTTGTATCACGATAGTTCAAACTAAGGTTCTAAAGGCTGTTTTACATTTATACCAACTTGAAAGAACGTTTTACCAAAATTTACATCTGTAAATTTCTTCAACATTAGTATTGACATTTTATGGTTAACATATCTTGATTCTCAATATGCAATTTTTTTTCATATTCTGATCAATTATTGGGATTCAGTGTGGATCAAAGAAGTCAGTTTATAATGGATCATCAACTTACAAGTTTTGTGACCTTTGACAAGTCATTTTATGATCCTGAGAATAGGTTTTCTATTCTGAATAATGAAAAGATTTAGCAGAAAATGAGGTTAAATGTTTCATATATATGTTATTGTATACAAAAGATATTATTTAAAATACTATATAAAATATTACATAAACTTAGATATTATCCTACTAAGTATTTAATGAGTTTGAGTACTTTCATCACTTTAATCACGTGTAGGGCATTTTATTATTAAAAAGAAGCACCAATTTACTAATAAATTAGGATAGCCTGTGGAAATAAACACAAGTACTCTAATACCAATGGCTTTTTTACATTAGTGTGGCTATGTTTGTGGGTGGGTGCTGCAAATTTGTAGCCTATTCCTTTGCATGCTCTAAATCAGTAACTGTTAAAATAATGATGAAGTTGTTTTTGAGGGGAAATAAATTTATTTTAATTCATGCATAGTTTTTGTATGCAAAGAAGGAATATTTAAATTTCTATGCTCAATTTTATAATGAATTTAAACATTACATTGACAAAATTCCTATGCAGTTATTATTTAAATGTGTATTATACTTACTTTTTTAATTTTAGTATAAATTTACTTCCTATGGATTTCATCCCTACCACATGTCTCTGGAAGATGAGAATCACGCTCATGGAGTTCTCTTGCTTAACAGCAATGCAATGGGTAAACCAATCTATTGTTGAATTTCTCATATTTCATATGACTCTTTAATAAAATAATATCTTACATATAGATAAAAACTTAATCATATTTTGGATTTACAGATGTTACATTTCAGCCAACTCCTGCTCTCACCTACCGTGTAATTGGAGGAATCTTGGATTTTTATATGTTTTTGGGCCCAACACCAGAAGTTGCAACAAAGCAATACCATGAAGTATGATTGCACATTTAAAAAAAATTAATTTTCTTTATAATATAAAATGACTCTCTTAATTCACAAATAATGTTTTTTTCAAAGGTAATTGGCCGACCAGTCATGCCACCTTATTGGGCTTTGGGATTCCAGTTATGTCGCTATGGGTACAGAAATACTTCAGAGGTGCAGCAAGTATATGATGATATGGTGGCTGCTCAGATCCCCTATGTATGTATATCAATTTTTAAGATGGTGTTAAATGTATCATCTATAAAAGCAGAAAGAAATAAATACATGTACTTTAAAATTATTTTAAGAATTTGGTGATAATCAATACTTTGTTGTTTAGTAGCACCGAATGAACTGGATATGAGATTTTTATAAAAAAATTATATCAGATTGATAAACAGATAATATCTTTCCTTTTCCTTCCTTATTTCTCCCCAGTTTCATGACTCTGAGTTGTGCTAAATAAGTCATTGTGCCCTTGACTTTCCCTCATAAACTTTGGGTCACATAGATAAACAGACACATACCCTGTATTTTCTTTAGATGAGACTCAAAGAAAACAGGAATCTATTTCATCAACTGATGTAACAAATTACAGAGAATGAATTGGAATTGTAACTCGGGAGTTTTGCCCTGAAATAGATAATAGTCGTAATGTTAGGATACGGAATTAGAAGGTTTGCAGAATATCCTCTTCCCTCAATGTTCAGGAAGTAAATATTCCTATGTAACCAGAAATAGTCAATCTCTGTGATTTTATTTTCTGCATTATAAGAAAGCCCAGGGATCCTTCTGGTAACACACTTTGAAATCTAGAATGCTTGGTATATAAGAACTCATTCTAAAAAGAGCTAAAAGGACCTCATTAAAAGACATCAATATCTATGTTAGAATCCAGTATATGGTTCCTGATTACAATCCTATGGGGAAATTAAGTATGTAGGTTGATGATACAGAAATGTGCAAGTGGAAATTTTTTTTATAAAAAAGGGGGATTTTCCATTATTAGGTTCATTGTATCAGCTATATATGTTTTATAACACCAAAAAGAAGACACTGAGTTATTTCTATTAGGAGAAAACAATTAATGAATTTGTTATTTAGGCTTAAATTAAATATTTCATGATAAAATTCAAACATGTATTAGATTAAGCATATTTGTAAATACCAAGTTGTAAGCAATATTTTCCTTATTTAAGCTTGTGCTAGTCCAAAAATGACTTTGGTGGATAGTAGAAGAATTTTACAATGATTGTTGGATTTACTAATAATTATTTCTTCCCCTTTGGCAATTTGGGATTATTTTAAATCATCCTATATTTGCTTTAAGTTTCTAGAAATATAGCAACATCTATTATTTACAAAATTCCAAATTGCCATTTAATAAAATTTCATGATTCATAATTCCTTTACTGCTGTGTCTTTGGGAATTACATAGCAAAAAATGCTGACTTGAAGGAGTTTTTACTTCCAAATCAAAAATACTAAATTATCCATTAACAAAACAGAACTTGTTCTTAGATTATTTTGCATCTTTACATGTTAGTTTTTTTCTTTGAAAACTGCATTACTTGATCAATTCTCTTTTAAGATCATGTAAGAAGGCATTGTAACTTTCATATTGCTACTATTTCCTCAAGTATGGCAATGTGATGCACTTATTGCAGTGATTCTTAGCCCACTACCACGATTCTTGTATCTTTCAGGATGTTCAATACACAGACATTGATTACATGGAAAGACAATTAGATTTTACAATTGGTGAAGAATTCCATGACCTTCCTCAGTTTGTTGACAAAATCAGAAATGAAGGAATGAGATACATTATTATCCTGGTCAGTATTTATATTTTATATTTTATCTGGGTCTTATTTTGATTTTATTAAGAGTTCCTGCCTAAAGTTGGTGGTGTGTGTGTGTGTGTGTGTGTAAGTGTGTGTGTACGTACATGTGTGTGTGGGGTTATTTCAAAGTAGGAAGTAGATAACCTTGAACCCCACTCCCAAATCTAAAACTTTCTTCCTTTAACACTTGATTTTATTTACATGGGTTGCCACCAGGCTGCCTTTACACTTAACCTTAGAGACCTAAAACTGAAGCTGGAAGACAAAAGCAAGCTGTTTTCTAGAATCATCCAAGCTCCAAACTGGCCTCAATTTATAGAAGCTATCACTAAGTGATGCCAGATTTTCTATTCCTATATAGTTCTCAAATCATTCTCTAGGATTGCTTCTTATGTTGTCATGTTTTAAAATTTGCCTTCCAGTTAGTGAATCAGTGGGGAGAATATTTTATCAATATCTTACAGGAAGCAAGCTAGATAATCAGAAATTCCCCTGGAGAAAAAAAAAAACACTCTAGTAATTTTGCTTGAAATCATAGTTAATGTAATTTCAAAAGTTCTTAAAATTTTCTTCTAAGGAATTTAGAGGACAGTCTAGCTAGAACACTAAAGTTTATACCATCACTCAATTTGTCAGGGCATAAGAGAGAACAGTATAATGATAAAGTAATAATGGATAATTATAATGTTTCATAACAGCTACACAATTTATAGAAGCTATCACTAAGTGATGCCAGATTTTCTATTCCTATATAGTTCTCAAATCATTCTCTAGGATTGCTTCTTATGTTGTCATGTTTTAAAATTTGCCTTCCAGTTAGTGAATCAGTGGGGAGAATATTTTATCAATATCTTACAGGAAGCAAGCTAGATAATCAGAAATTCCCCTGGAGAAAAAAAAAAACACTCTAGTAATTTTGCTTGAAATCATAGTTAATGTAATTTCAAAAGTTCTTAAAATTTTCTTCTAAGGAATTTAGAGGACAGTCTAGCTAGAACACTAAAGTTTATACCATCACTCAATTTGTCAGGGCATAAGAGAGAACAGTATAATGATAAAGTAATAATGGATAATTATAATGTTTCATAACAGCTACCGAAGTGGCTACACTTTTATTCCATAGTTACCATGTTTGTATTTCATTTTAATTTTAGGATCCAGCAATTTCAGGAAATGAAACAAAACCTTACCCTGCATTTAAAAGAGGACAGGAGAAAGATGTCTTTGTTAAATGGCCTAATACCAGTGATATTTGTTGGGCAAAGGTACTGAGTTGATATTTTGAAATAAAATAAAGTGCTATTTTGTTGAAGGTTTCTGTTTAATTAAAAAACTATTAAAACATGCTCAGAGGGAGAAATATACAGGAATGTAATGATTTAATAGCTAATAAGTAAACTCTGGGTTCAATTCAGATTACTAGAAACAAAACTAATTCATGGAATTCATGTGTCTATTTTATCATTCAAATTGTAATTCATTATATTTCCTTAATTATAAAAGTACCATATATAAGATGACTATTTATTATTCTGTACTGAAGGAATCACTTAAATTTTTGTACTTCTCTTAAAAATATCTCATTCATAAAATAAATAATGTTTTAAAAGCTATTCTTCTATTACTGACTTGAACAAAAAATATAATTCACTGTATTTCATTCAAGCAATAATATTCAGATCTGGGTATATTAATATATTATAGAAAATACCCTGATTTAGCTTACATTTAAAAGAGTAAGGAAAATAAATGTTCACATCATAATAGAATGAAAAAATATAATAACAAATTCCCATAATTAGAGACATAATTAAATGCAATGTGGCATCTTTTTTGGATCTTGGACCAAAATAGGACACTGGTGATAGAAGTGGTTAAATTCAAACATGGCCTATTGTGTTAATGTTAATCTCTTGCTTTTGAAGACTGTACAGTATTTATAAATCTGTTAACTTTAGGAGAGGTAGTGTGCAGGGTATAGAAAAACTTTAGGTATAATTTTTGCAGCTTTTCTGTAAGTCTGACAATCTTTCAAAATAAAAAGGTAAAAATAAAATAGAAAAAATCCTATGATGAATTTAGTGAAAAGTCATGATCTTGTAATAAAATGCAATATAGAGTATGACATATTGGCCATAGAAAGGGATTATTTACTTTCTACTTTCTTCTCATTCTATATTCATATACATTTTCTCAAATTTCTACCCTATTTCCTTTAGAAAACTACTCTGTATCAGTAACTAATCCCTTGTCGGTAATTAGTCCTTTGGGGATCATTTATATCTTCTATGGAACTTTCTAATTTCTACAACATAGATTCAAATTCCAGAGCTTTTGGTGTGATTGAATCTGGGCTCTGTTTCGCGTGTTTGTGCTTGAGGTTGAGGAAAACACTGCTAGGCAGGGAGGCAAGCGCAGTAGTGGAGGGTGAGAGAGGAGATTCAGTATTAACTGTGAAAACCAGAAAAGTATATTTGTCCCTACATGACACCATTCAACTCAGGTCTCCAATTCCTGTCAAATAAAAATATATTCATTATTTTCAGGTTTTAATACTAGAGCAATTGTAGAAACAGTTTTAATATACCACATTAAATTAAGTTTAGAATATGCTTTTGATATTATTTCTTGATCAGCACTTTGCTTACATGCATTGCTTTCAAATCACTACTTACTACAAAGTTTGGCTTTCTTTTTCTTATTTGCTATATTAAAGATGAAATTAATATGGAAAAAAAGAATAGTCCACAAATTGTATATATATGAAAACAAACCAAAAAAAACTAGTTGAATGAATTACTGATCTGGGGATTTTGAGTCTATAATGTGCCCCTAAAACTCTATTATACTTTATTTATAACAAAGTCATAGTATACTGAATTTGTTTTGAACTGTTTTCCCTTTTTCTTTTCTTTTTGTAGGTTTGGCCAGACTTGCCCAATGTAAAAATAGATGAAAGTCTATCTGAGGATGAAGCTGTTAATGTAAGTTTTACAGTAATTGTGTAATTAAAAGAAACTCAGCACTTAATTTAATGATCACTTTGACCAATAATTCAATTAGAATACTTTCCTTAAGAAACTAGATGGCTTATTTTCTAATATTCTAATTGGACCATATTTAAATTAATTTATTTAATTATTCAGATATATAAAATTTAAGAATGTTAAAATCATAGAAAGTATGTTTTTTTACCATAGTGGAATGAAACTAAAATCATTATCAGAAGGAAAACCAGAAAATTTAAAACTGTGTGGAAATTAAACAACATGTTTTTGAACAACAAATGGGTCTAAGAAGAAATCTAAAGGGAAATTGGAAAGTATCTTGGAAAAACAAAAATGAAAATACAACATACCAAAAGCTTATGGGATGCAGTCAATTCAATACCAAAATGGAAGCTGATCACATTACCACCTACTTTAAAAATGAAGAAAATTTTCAAATAAACGACCTAACTACACCTCTAGAAACTAGGAAAAGAAAAACAAACTAAGCCAAAATCTAGTAGAAAAAAGGAAATAATAAAGAGTAGGCCAGAAATAAATTAAATAACATCAAAACCATAGAAAAATCAATGAAACTAAAAATTCAAAATCAATCTTTTAGGTACATCAAATTATAATCATTAAATCATACAAGTTTATGTAAGCATGAAAACTTCGAGGTGCATTCATGCTTAAAACTTACCAAATTATTTCTAAAGTAAACTCAAAGAATTATTGAACCATGTTGTTGATAAAAGTCAGTGTTCTCTCAGTTGATGTTTTACCCATTACTCTTTTGGAATATCAATATACTGGAGAAGAAGGCATGGCTTCTTTACGTAGATTTTGGAGAGCATCATGAATTTACAGTAGCTTATGTAGAATCACTTGGAATCATTTTCCAAAAAGGTGTTAAAACTGTTGGATCACACATTCCTGATGAAATTTCTGGATATAACCAATGATTTGTATTAAAGCAATAAAAGCAGTCCCCTGAAAGAATAAAATAGAGAGAAAAATGAATGAATTGCTGAAAGAGTAGAACAATGTAAGTTAACGAACAAAATATGGTGTTACTTTTCTTATTGTTTCTCACTGTGCTCTAGGGGACATCCTAGCCTAGAAAATATTCATTGACTATAAACCCATTGAGCCTTCTAACCTTATGAGTAAATGTAATTATTGAACAAAATGATAAAATGAAGTCCAACTCTAAAAAATGATATATGTATTTTGTAAATCCCTATATTTTCTACTTTGTGCATTTTCTCTATGCACAGTGCCCTTCCATATCCTGTTCATAGAGAAGCCTTGATCTTGCAGTTACTACATTGTCTTAGAATGACAGGAAAGTGTGCAGGTGGCAATGTTTTTCAGGTAATTGATCTACCTGCAGAAGGTCAATCCTGTGTAACATACAAATTCTTACCTTGGCAGTTATTTGGGCAGTCTGGCAAGTAGGGAATAGGTAAGGAAAGGAGTAAATCACTTGGATGGGAAGGCCAAGTTGTGAGAGAGAAAGACAAAGAGGTGGGGGTGGTGGAATAATGTGTTGGTCTGGAAGGGCAGAAAACTGGGGAAATTTTTTCAGAAAACATGCTAAACCAAGGTCCTTTCCTTCCCGGCCATACTCCACAAAAGTAAGCCAGCAGTATAGGACTCTATAAAGATCAGGAGAAAAACTTTCTTGTGACTCTAAGAAGCACTGAAAATATATTTCTATGTGTTTTAAACTGTTTCTTTACAATCCATATATGACCCCAAGACTGCTCTCTTCTCTCCCCTGTTTGTTTCTCCCTCTTTTTATTCTTCATTGCTGCTGGGGCAGTTAGAGGATCTTCATTGCTGCTGGGACAGTTAGAGGAAAATAATATACATCATATACTTCAAGTTGAGATCAGGTTGCCTTCATTTTTACTTGTGCACAATTTGTGAATCTGACAGATTAATAAATGTCTGACTTAGACACATGTAGTCTCTCTATCACTTTCTACATATGGGTCTGAATTTTGTTTTTACAGGCTTCCAGAGCCCATGTAGCTTTTCCAGATTTCTTCAGGAATTCCACAGTAGAGTGGTGGGCAAGGGAAATTAATGATTTCTACAATAACCAGATGAAATTTGATGGTTTGTGGATTGTAAGTAAACTTTGAGCAATTTTTTATTTTAAGTTGCTTATTGTGTAGTGATTATGAAAAATTTCTTACTAAATTCTAATAATATCAACAAAGTATACTCTGTGAAAATTAGCTCACTCATTTTATCTGTAGAACTTTCTTATGCAAAGGACTGTTAAAATACAGTTTTAACAACTCAATTTATGTATATGTTATTTCCTATTGAATATTTTCAACTTCACAAAGAAAAGAAAATAAACACTTTTTTTTACCATTCATACATGCTCATAAACATTTATTTTATTTTCATTTAATGTACGAAAAAATCTCACATTCAATTGTCAGTCTTTGTTATAAAAAATCATAATCTTACAAGCTTAGCAAAATTATCCTTCAAACAACCTCCTAAATTTAAGGGTAACTTTAAAATACTAGTGTAAAGATTTTTAGTAATATAATTTTGCATAAAAAAGAATTTAACACAAGTAAATATTTAATGCAGGAGATTTTACAAAATACTTCTCAATTTTTTTGGAGGTGACATTTCTTACTCAGTAGATTTTTCAATAATCATGCATTTATTTACTCATTTTTTAATTGAGAAAACCTTTATAGAGGTACTGTTATGTGCAAGCCTTATACATAAATTTGTATAAAGCATAGTTTCTTAATTAATTAGAAATATAGGTTTAATTTATTTATAAAGTTATGTACTATAAGGGATTATATTAAATATACTCCCAAGAATGTTATCTTGACCTAGAAAAGATAACCTTTTTTCTCATGGAGGTATCACCTTTAAGTAATAGCTAATTTATATAGTTAGGTGATGGCTCCTTTATATGTCTACTGAAATCATGAAATGTTTGCTCAATAGAGATAATCTTTGAAGTTTCTGTATTTGTAAACTATATCTTTTGTTTTGAAAAATCACAGACCATGGCTTTTGGAAAAAAGCAGTAGATACAAGGCTTCAGGGTAGAGGTGGAAAGAAAGATATGGGGGACTATATATTATAGTAACTTAATTTTATGTCTGGAAAAACAGAAAACTATTCACTTTTATATGTATATTATATCTACAGAGAAAAATAGGGTCTTTTGTGTTTTTCAAAGGAGGCATGAATTGTAAAAAAGAATTACTGAGCTAAACTAAATTCTTTGATATTATTAAAATGCTGTTTTTGTTTTGCTTTTTAGAATAATAAATGTGCTATTATTCAAATATGCTATTTTAATTTATTGGCTCTTTTAGTCCTTTTGACAATTACTTTCCATATTTGTTTTTGTTTTTTCTAGTTAATTTTTTAAATTGAATTATGGTTGATACACATTATTGGTCTCAGGTACAAAATTGTGATATAATAGTTATATGCATTACTAAATGCTTACCATAATAAGTGTAGTTAACATCTGTCATAATACAGAGATATTACAATATTATTGATTATATGCCTTAGTCTGTACTTTCATCCTTGTGATTTTATAATTTTATAAAATATATTTTATAATTGGCAGGTTATACCTTCATCCCCTTTATCTATTTCACCCATTCCCATACCCTTTCATATGGAAACCTCCATTCTCTTCTGTTTATGAGTATATTCCTCTTTTGTTGTTTGTTCATTTTTTTTTATATTCTAGTTATAAGTGAAATCAGATGGTATTTCATTTAATATAATACTCTCTAGGTCCATTCATGTTCTTGCAAATGGCAAGATTTCATTCTTTTTTATGCCTGAATAATAATCTATTGTCTATATGTAACACATCTTCTTTATCCATTCATCTTCAGTGGTCAATAAGTTGATTCTATGTCTTAGCTATTGTAAATAATGCTACAGTAACACAGGGAAGGGCGCATGTATCTTTCTGAATTAATGATTTTGTTTTCTTTATATAAATACCCAGAAATAAAATTACTGGGTCATATGGTATTGTTTTCCATAGTGGCTGCACCAGTTTACAGTCCCACTAACAGTGCACAAGTTTCTCTTTTCTCTATATTCTCTCCAACATTTGTTATTTCTTATCTTTTTGATAATTGCCATTCTAGAATGGTATGAGGAGATATCTTGTTGTGGTTTTAATTTGCAGTTCTCTGGTGATTAATGATGCTGATCACCTTTCATGTGCCTATTGGCCATCTGTATGACTTCTTTGGAAAAACATCTAATTACATCTGCTGCCCATTTTTTAATCAAATTGTTTGTTTTTGGTGTTGAGTTGTATGGGTTCTTTATATATTTTAGATATTAGCCCATTATCAGATATATCATTGGCAGATATCTTTTTCTGTTCAGTAAGTTGTCTTTTTGTTTTGTTGATGTTTCCTGGGCTATGCTGAAGTTTTTTAGTTTGATGTAGTCCCACTTATTTATTTTTTCTTTTGCTTCCCTTGCTCAGGGAGACATAACTCGAAAAAAATGACTAGTGTTGATGTTCAGGTGTTTACTGCCTGTATTTTATTCTAGGAGCTTTATATTTTCAGGTCTTTAGTCTTTTTTGAGATCATTTTTGTGTATGATAATAAGACACTGATACAGTTTTATCTTTTTGCATGTAGCTGGTCAGTTTTTCCCACACCATTTATTGAAGAGAGTGCCTTTCTCCCATTGTATATTCCTGCCTCCTGTGTCACAGATTATTGGCCATATAAGCATGAGGTTTTTTTTTTCTTTTACTGGACTTTTTATTCTCTTCCATTTATCTGTGTGTCTATTTTTATTCCAGTAGCATACTGTTTTGATTACAGTAGCTTTTAGTATAGTTTAAAATCAGGGTTCATGATACCTCCAGCTTTGTTCTTTCTCTAAATTTGTTTTTTGTTTACTTTTCTCTTTTTCTTAAAGGATATGAATGAACCATCAAGTTTTGTAAGTGGAACAGTTACTTATCAATGCAGAAATACAGAGCTAAATTATCCACCTTATATACCAGGTACAATATTGTTGCTATGTCTTTGAACTTATCATGTTATTACTTATTATTAACCAGATTTATATATTTTATGATGTAGAGAACAAGACTCACATCCCCAATTCTCACTACCTATCTATACACAAGACTGCACCTTAACCCATTACCAATATTATTTAATACTCTTTAAAGAAGAAAAATCAAGAAACATGCTTTATCCATGTGAACACATTTTTAAGTTTGCTAGAAATTGTTATTTTGATTTCCTTAAGTATCTTTCCAGGTTTGAAAATTCTCAATATTCTTTAAGGCAAAAAAACTAAAAGCTTTCATAAAAGACTTTGAAACCTTTTTCTTTACTATGAAAAAAATGAAAGAATGTAACAACATTTCTTTAGTTCCTGACCTAGGGGGGAAAGGTCTATTCCTTCGATGTATATTCTCATGCTCTTATATAGGTAATAAAGCTCATAAACTGTTAACATCTAAAGTGATGGCAAAGCCCTGAAACAAATTTTTGACTGAGAAAAAGTGAATCAAAAAATAGTGTTGTTATACATTCACCTGGTGTTTAACCCCAAGGTTTCATGCTATCAAATGAATATTTTTAATAAAAATTTATTTAATCTTTATTTCTTGTCTAAATGTGTAAAATATAGTAAACATTTAGGAGTACACTCATTTTTCAGGGTTTTTAAATTCATGTCATCAATAACATTTTTTTTACTCAGTAAAATTTTTCACCTATTTTTCAGTCACGATTGTAATTGAATCAGACCTTTCATTTTTCATTGGTTCTCTCCAGATATCACAAAAAGAAGTGCTGGATTACATTTCAGAACTATGTGTATGGAGACTGAACAAATTCTTAGTGATGGATCATCAGTTTTGCATTACAATGTTCATAATTTATATGGATGGTCACAAATGAAACCTACTTATGAGTAAGCAATGCTCATAATTACTCTTAGTATCTTTGAGATATTAGATTTAATAATACCTACCTTAAGTGTTCTTCCCTACTGCCTTTATCTGATAACATTTTCCTTCTCAATATTCTCTGTGACTTACTTGTTCCATCCCACTTAGAATAATTGCATTTTTCTCTCTCTCCTTACTTTCTCATGTATCATTGTTTTAAGTCTTTACCCTAATCCAAAAAGAATACTGAATGATTTTTATTTTGTTCCCCACCATGTATCCACCTCATAGTAGCAAAGTGCCTAGCAAATAGTAGGTGCTCAATGGATTGTTTTTAATGAGGAAATGAGTAAATAATATGTAATTTGATATTATTAGTTAAAACATTAAAGTTGGCTAACTGTTATTTAAACCCATTATTAGCAAATTAGAGTATGTGTGAATGATCTGGAGCTTAAACTTCAATGTTATATTAAACAAACCCTTCTGTAAGGCCAGTGATGATGGAACACAGGCGAGTCTTTGAGTTTCACGTGTTTATTAGCACTGTCTAAAAATCTTCCTGCAATGATAGAAATGTTATTTAATTCTGGGTTGTCCAATATGGTAGCTACTAGCCATATATAGCATGTAAGCAACGAGACTAGTTGATAATTCAAGGATGGAATTTTAAATTGTGTTTAATTTTAACAAAGGTAAACTCAAATAGCCCCATGTTCTTAGCAGCTGCCATATTACACAGTGAAGCTCTAGATCACTGGTTCCTAACTGCACATTGTAACCACCAGGAGATTTTCAGTAAATGCTGATTTAATTGGTCTGTACTATAGCTTAAGCATCTGAATTTTTTAAAAATTTCCCAGGTTGTTCTAATTAGCATTCAGTGTTGAAACACTGCTGTAATATATGACTGAAATTGGTGGAAGAATGAAAAGCATAACAATAACCAGATGAAATTTGATGGTTTGTGGATTGTAAGTAAACTTTGAGCAATTTTTTATTTTAAGTTGCTTATTGTGTAGTGATTATGAAAAATTTCTTACTAAATTCTAATAATATCAACAAAGTATACTCTGTGAAAATTAGCTCACTCATTTTATCTGTAGAACTTTCTTATGCAAAGGACTGTTAAAATACAGTTTTAACAACTCAATTTATGTATATGTTATTTCCTATTGAATATTTTCAACTTCACAAAGAAAAGAAAATAAACACTTTTTTTTACCATTCATACATGCTCATAAACATTTATTTTATTTTCATTTAATGTACGAAAAAATCTCACATTCAATTGTCAGTCTTTGTTATAAAAAATCATAATCTTACAAGCTTAGCAAAATTATCCTTCAAACAACCTCCTAAATTTAAGGGTAACTTTAAAATACTAGTGTAAAGATTTTTAGTAATATAATTTTGCATAAAAAAGAATTTAACACAAGTAAATATTTAATGCAGGAGATTTTACAAAATACTTCTCAATTTTTTTGGAGGTGACATTTCTTACTCAGTAGATTTTTCAATAATCATGCATTTATTTACTCATTTTTTAATTGAGAAAACCTTTATAGAGGTACTGTTATGTGCAAGCCTTATACATAAATTTGTATAAAGCATAGTTTCTTAATTAATTAGAAATATAGGTTTAATTTATTTATAAAGTTATGTACTATAAGGGATTATATTAAATATACTCCCAAGAATGTTATCTTGACCTAGAAAAGATAACCTTTTTTCTCATGGAGGTATCACCTTTAAGTAATAGCTAATTTATATAGTTAGGTGATGGCTCCTTTATATGTCTACTGAAATCATGAAATGTTTGCTCAATAGAGATAATCTTTGAAGTTTCTGTATTTGTAAACTATATCTTTTGTTTTGAAAAATCACAGACCATGGCTTTTGGAAAAAAGCAGTAGATACAAGGCTTCAGGGTAGAGGTGGAAAGAAAGATATGGGGGACTATATATTATAGTAACTTAATTTTATGTCTGGAAAAACAGAAAACTATTCACTTTTATATGTATATTATATCTACAGAGAAAAATAGGGTCTTTTGTGTTTTTCAAAGGAGGCATGAATTGTAAAAAAGAATTACTGAGCTAAACTAAATTCTTTGATATTATTAAAATGCTGTTTTTGTTTTGCTTTTTAGAATAATAAATGTGCTATTATTCAAATATGCTATTTTAATTTATTGGCTCTTTTAGTCCTTTTGACAATTACTTTCCATATTTGTTTTTGTTTTTTCTAGTTAATTTTTTAAATTGAATTATGGTTGATACACATTATTGGTCTCAGGTACAAAATTGTGATATAATAGTTATATGCATTACTAAATGCTTACCATAATAAGTGTAGTTAACATCTGTCATAATACAGAGATATTACAATATTATTGATTATATGCCTTAGTCTGTACTTTCATCCTTGTGATTTTATAATTTTATAAAATATATTTTATAATTGGCAGGTTATACCTTCATCCCCTTTATCTATTTCACCCATTCCCATACCCTTTCATATGGAAACCTCCATTCTCTTCTGTTTATGAGTATATTCCTCTTTTGTTGTTTGTTCATTTTTTTTTATATTCTAGTTATAAGTGAAATCAGATGGTATTTCATTTAATATAATACTCTCTAGGTCCATTCATGTTCTTGCAAATGGCAAGATTTCATTCTTTTTTATGCCTGAATAATAATCTATTGTCTATATGTAACACATCTTCTTTATCCATTCATCTTCAGTGGTCAATAAGTTGATTCTATGTCTTAGCTATTGTAAATAATGCTACAGTAACACAGGGAAGGGCGCATGTATCTTTCTGAATTAATGATTTTGTTTTCTTTATATAAATACCCAGAAATAAAATTACTGGGTCATATGGTATTGTTTTCCATAGTGGCTGCACCAGTTTACAGTCCCACTAACAGTGCACAAGTTTCTCTTTTCTCTATATTCTCTCCAACATTTGTTATTTCTTATCTTTTTGATAATTGCCATTCTAGAATGGTATGAGGAGATATCTTGTTGTGGTTTTAATTTGCAGTTCTCTGGTGATTAATGATGCTGATCACCTTTCATGTGCCTATTGGCCATCTGTATGACTTCTTTGGAAAAACATCTAATTACATCTGCTGCCCATTTTTTAATCAAATTGTTTGTTTTTGGTGTTGAGTTGTATGGGTTCTTTATATATTTTAGATATTAGCCCATTATCAGATATATCATTGGCAGATATCTTTTTCTGTTCAGTAAGTTGTCTTTTTGTTTTGTTGATGTTTCCTGGGCTATGCTGAAGTTTTTTAGTTTGATGTAGTCCCACTTATTTATTTTTTCTTTTGCTTCCCTTGCTCAGGGAGACATAACTCGAAAAAAATGACTAGTGTTGATGTTCAGGTGTTTACTGCCTGTATTTTATTCTAGGAGCTTTATATTTTCAGGTCTTTAGTCTTTTTTGAGATCATTTTTGTGTATGATAATAAGACACTGATACAGTTTTATCTTTTTGCATGTAGCTGGTCAGTTTTTCCCACACCATTTATTGAAGAGAGTGCCTTTCTCCCATTGTATATTCCTGCCTCCTGTGTCACAGATTATTGGCCATATAAGCATGAGGTTTTTTTTTTCTTTTACTGGACTTTTTATTCTCTTCCATTTATCTGTGTGTCTATTTTTATTCCAGTAGCATACTGTTTTGATTACAGTAGCTTTTAGTATAGTTTAAAATCAGGGTTCATGATACCTCCAGCTTTGTTCTTTCTCTAAATTTGTTTTTTGTTTACTTTTCTCTTTTTCTTAAAGGATATGAATGAACCATCAAGTTTTGTAAGTGGAACAGTTACTTATCAATGCAGAAATACAGAGCTAAATTATCCACCTTATATACCAGGTACAATATTGTTGCTATGTCTTTGAACTTATCATGTTATTACTTATTATTAACCAGATTTATATATTTTATGATGTAGAGAACAAGACTCACATCCCCAATTCTCACTACCTATCTATACACAAGACTGCACCTTAACCCATTACCAATATTATTTAATACTCTTTAAAGAAGAAAAATCAAGAAACATGCTTTATCCATGTGAACACATTTTTAAGTTTGCTAGAAATTGTTATTTTGATTTCCTTAAGTATCTTTCCAGGTTTGAAAATTCTCAATATTCTTTAAGGCAAAAAAACTAAAAGCTTTCATAAAAGACTTTGAAACCTTTTTCTTTACTATGAAAAAAATGAAAGAATGTAACAACATTTCTTTAGTTCCTGACCTAGGGGGGAAAGGTCTATTCCTTCGATGTATATTCTCATGCTCTTATATAGGTAATAAAGCTCATAAACTGTTAACATCTAAAGTGATGGCAAAGCCCTGAAACAAATTTTTGACTGAGAAAAAGTGAATCAAAAAATAGTGTTGTTATACATTCACCTGGTGTTTAACCCCAAGGTTTCATGCTATCAAATGAATATTTTTAATAAAAATTTATTTAATCTTTATTTCTTGTCTAAATGTGTAAAATATAGTAAACATTTAGGAGTACACTCATTTTTCAGGGTTTTTAAATTCATGTCATCAATAACATTTTTTTTACTCAGTAAAATTTTTCACCTATTTTTCAGTCACGATTGTAATTGAATCAGACCTTTCATTTTTCATTGGTTCTCTCCAGATATCACAAAAAGAAGTGCTGGATTACATTTCAGAACTATGTGTATGGAGACTGAACAAATTCTTAGTGATGGATCATCAGTTTTGCATTACAATGTTCATAATTTATATGGATGGTCACAAATGAAACCTACTTATGAGTAAGCAATGCTCATAATTACTCTTAGTATCTTTGAGATATTAGATTTAATAATACCTACCTTAAGTGTTCTTCCCTACTGCCTTTATCTGATAACATTTTCCTTCTCAATATTCTCTGTGACTTACTTGTTCCATCCCACTTAGAATAATTGCATTTTTCTCTCTCTCCTTACTTTCTCATGTATCATTGTTTTAAGTCTTTACCCT